TTGATAGGGCACAAATCAAAGCTGACCATGCTTTTGAGCAATTGCTTCTATCGTGAGAGGAAATGCTGCATTGCCTGTTTATCGTCATGGCAACCTAGATTTTGGCGCAAAATAAATGTGAGTGGAAGACAAGCACATTACTAAATTGATTAAAGATAAATTGTGTTTTGACTTACCTAAATGGAATACATCCAGCATATTTGGATAATTTGATACGGCGAGACTAGGTACAAACGTTGATTTAACTAATTGTTTTAGCTATTTTATTGGCCCCACGATGTTTAGTTAACTGATTCTATTAAAGCTGCCACTAAAGTTATTCAACTTCCACTACACGTAACTTCGCACTTCATCGAAAAACAAACTTCGTTTTGATTCAACGTTTTATATATTTTATTTTTAACTCGTTTTTATATTTATTGTTTTAATATATTTAGTTACTCGTTTCAGTTTTATATTTTAAATCACGGTTTAACGTTTCGTTTAAATATATATGTATATGTTTAACGTATATAAATTTATTAAAGTTTATTTAAAAAGTTAGTCAATAGCACCAATTGTATCGATATAAGAGTTGTGTGAATGACTGTGAGCAAGACGTGTTAATTTGGTGTTGAGGGTGAAAATGTGTTTTGTCACACTGGCACTTGCGACGAACGAGTGAAGTGGTGTGACCCCACCGGTTTCTCCGGGAAAATGCTCCGGATTCAGGGATGCTGCGATGTGGGAGCGCGCACGCGCAATAAGTCGGGGTCGAGCTGCACAAATATGGGGGGATGCTGACCTACGTGGCGCGATTGACGAAAAATTGGACCACGCATACTTAGGGCGGGAGCTAGGAGTTGAAATCTGAAATTAAAAGAGACGATACTTCAACTAATTACAGTGCAACCCGCTTATAATGGACAGGCTGGACTGTGACAAATAGTCTGTTATAAACCGATGACCATCTTGAAAGAAACAATTTTTTTGAATGAAAAAAGCAGCAGAAATAACATATTAAAAGCTTAGAATGCGTTTGTTTAACACAACAAGTTCATTATACTGGGGAGCGGTGGAAGCAAAAGTTTACTCAAAACCAATCGAAAATCTAGCAGACAAATAACGGAAGCAGCTGAATTTGTTAATAACGGAAGATTCGCCAGTCTGATATCATTTTTAAAAAGATGTCAACCTTGCATTGCTGCCTAAGGAAGGCAGTTTGAACTTTTATTGTGAATTTAATGAATAGATTCACGAATTGATAAAAGTAGAGTTACTGTCTTGCTATCATTACGTAGAATGACAATGTCCGTCACACTACGAAGCATAATCATCTACTTTTCGCCCTTGATAAATAAATAACTATTAATTTGAATTCGCTGTGAAGGTCTTGGACTAATTGACATCAATTATAAATTGATGAAGATCTCAAAATCCGACTGACAATTCAATTCACATCCCGATGATATTGCATAATTGATCACGGTATGGGCGTCTTTTAAAGCAGGTTTGAGAGCAGGCTGATTTCCACTTTCTATTACTATTTAATCATATCATTTATTCAATACATCAAAAGCATATACCTTGACAGCAACTAGGAAAATTTCAGGGGTAGCTCCAGGAAAACGTGTACCGAAAGATGCTGGGTTACCCTCCTTAAAAGCTACATAGTCTTTAGAAGTAAAACCGTTTTACCTCAGTACTATACTAAGTGACATATAAATCCGAACACCCAGTTTAAATGGTTTTATTTTAATAAAATTTTGTATAAGTACTTAATGAAGCATAATAAGTAAATGATAAAAATTTCAAAATGATTGCACTGCTTTAAAGCCCTTTGACCTTTAATAATGTGTGGATGCACCCTGATGTGCTACGCATTCTACAACGCGCCTAGGCATGCTTCTGATCAGGTGGTCAATGTCCTCCTGTGGTATCTCATTTCAGGCAACCACCAACTCCTCTCGAAGTGCTTCTAGAGTCTGAGGAAGACGTTGCAAATTGAGCAATCTCCTACCCATCATATCCCACACGTGCTCAATTGGGGATAAGTCGGGAGATCTTGGTGGACATGGTAACAATGTGACATCATTATGTTGAAAGAAGTCTATTGTGACTCTTGCAACATGTGGTCGGGCATTATCTTGTTGGAAAGTTGGATCTGCCAGGGTGTCAAGATAGGGTAAAAGATGGGATTCTAGAACTTCGTGGATATAACGCTGCGCGTTCATGTTACCTCTGATGAAGATTAAAGGTGACCTGGAACCATAAGCTATAGCACCCCAAACCATAACTCCAACAGTGTGATGAACATGTCTTTCAACAAAAAACTGTGGATTTCTCCTTTCACCACGTCGCCTTCTAACGCTGGCACGACCATCGTGCATGCCTAAACAAAATCGAGACTCGTCACTAAAGACAATACAGTTCCATTCCTGATCCCAGAGTGACCGTTGTCTGCACCACTCAAGGCAATTACGTCGGTGTTCTCGAGTTAAAGGGAGGACACAGTGTGGTCGGTATGAAAACAAGCCAAAACTTCTCATTCGTCGGTAAACACTTCGCATGCCAATAGGTCTTCCGTGTTCTGCAAACCATTCATTGGCAATGGACCTGGTAGTGGAGAAACGGTCCCTAAGGCCAATAATCTTAGGCGGCGATCTTCACGGTATGTTGTTCTACGGCGGCGTCCAGTGCCCCTTGCACTTTGCGTACGGCCTTCTCGAAGCCATGCCTGACAACACCTAACCTCAGTGTCTACACTTCTTTGCACTCTAACTGCAACTGCCCGAAAAGAAAGTCCAGCTTCCCGAAGTCCCACTTTTACGGCCCCTATCAAACTCACTAAGTTGACGAAATCGTACAAGTCTCCGTACTCTAGGCATCGTAACCGATCGTAAAGGATGTCAAGAAGCAAAATCCGCCAACGTTGATTCTTTACTGCGACTGAAATATTCATTTTTAGAGCGTTAGTGAAATAAAAAAAGCAGTATAAAAACCGGAATGTCCAACTGATAAGGCCGAAAATTTTTTCACTTGTTATTTACAGTAAGATAGATACATTCACCAACTTTTATTAAAATAAAACCATTTAAACTGGGTGTTCGGATTTATATGTCACTTAATATATGTGGGTTATATTGACTTTGAGGTAATCGGTTAACTGCGGCTTATTGACTGAGGCGTGAGGCTTCAGGAACCAGGACAAGAAGAAATCGCACGTTATCCTGCTAGAACTGTACATTTCAAGATCCATATTGCTAACAGTGAAACAGTCGAATCTATACCGTACGGTCACTGAAAATTAGACCTTTTGATTCCATGCCATAATGCGGAACTGCGGTACCATGTTTGGTACATAATGGCAATTTTTTATACCGAAACAGCCGCATAGGCAGAAGCCTAAACACCACGGCAGTTGCTATGAGGAGCTTAAAGAAACTTTGTTTATACGAATTTTGAACTATCTAAGGTTATTAGGATTGTTCTGGATGTACGAAGTTCGACCCGGTTAGGATAGAAGGCATGTTACGCGGTGAGCTCTGACGATCAAAGACAATTGGGATAAGGGTAAAAGGGAATCAGAGTGCTAACCGCCCGTCATCACTGCAAAAGGATCCAGAGACTGTCCCTTTGCCGCTATTGACGAGATGTCAGTGTCAGGTCAAGTCCGCGCCGGTAATCTGGACTCTGACCTGCCGAAATGGACGGCACTTTAGTAGAAGTCTAGTATCCATCTAACCGGATGAGCATTCATGGTATATACAATTGAAAAAGTTTTCCCAATAACTCCTACCTGTTCTTACTGGAAAACGTTCTATTAAAGTGAAGACCATAACCTGACAGATGACATTTCATTTTTTACGTCCGCCTGATTCTGAATAATTGAGGCACGATGGACGGAAAACAAGTTGAATTGCATTTTCCATCCGATTAATTTTTCACCAGAAACAAACTATACATATGACTTGACAATAACTGGAAATGAATATTTTTAAAAATGCAACCGAAATATCACGAAGGTATTACACTGTCTCTTAAACCCGCAAGGTTTCTAGGTGTCCACCCGTTTTGCGACACTATGGGTCAATCTTTATTGTTCTTGCTTTCCTTCGTGGGCTTATTAACTCACGTGATTCTCACTAGCGTATATCTATTGGTGGAATTTCAAAATAACACGCTTGAAATGGAGACGATTCTTGGAAGTTATGAAGCTTATTTTGGCCTGATCCACGTAAGCTGTTCATCCATAAGAGTGTAAATGCCGGGTCCACATCAAAACAACAAAACAAAAACAAGGAACAAAACAGAAACGCAACAAATGAGCAACTTTTTGGAAACAAAACAATATGAAAACTTATGTCCACATTGCTAAGAGACATGTTGTTTTGGTTCGTGCAGTTCACACCAAAAATTTTCAGTGTGGCGTTTTTATGCTGAAATGCAGAAGCGCAAATATTTTATCATAATGTCTGCGACTGGAACGCCAAAAGTTGCCAGAAGCAGAAACGAAACACGAATTGTTGACGAAATGTTGCCGATTTGTTGCTTAATTGTTGAAAAACACTGAGTTGCTGTTTTGCTTCTGTTTTGTTGGTTTGGTGTGGACCCGACATAAGATCGAAAGTTGTACAAATTTTGCAGAACAAAAACGTAAAATCGAGTTGTGGCAGTATAGTTTGAAAATTAATTATTTGGAAAAACTCTGTAACGCGCCTAGCGTCTCGAAAGTTATATACTAATGTTATTTTGAACTGACTAAAATTTGTTCCCCAGTGTTCTTTTTATAATTAAACGGCCGCGAAATCAAAAACTTAGGTACCGAAGTACCACAACTGCTACAAAAATTCGTAAGATATTTGAATGATCCGATTTTTGAACAGCCTAAGGCTGATAAAAGTGCGAAAACATCCTCGACCTCGACACTCGATATTAATTGCAAGCGTTGTAATAAATTAGCGCGAGAGTAATAAATTAGCCTTTGGATAGTAAAAACGGTGTTTTCGTTACAATACGTCTGCTTCATGTCTCTGTAACCACAGCGAACCGTATACAACATTATTCCATGATTTTTACAAATAGTTCGACAAAGTTTGATACATCTTCGGACGATCTGCTGAAAATGGGCAGTTTAGTCCAAGCGGAAGAACGCAGAACCCCAGATATATGAGCAGTACTCTAAGCTGGATCTTATCTAGTCCTTGTACAAGGCGTGGAGAAAGGTACTACTTAACCCTAAACAGATATCTCCACTTCTCCTCAGTGATAAATGCAACATTAGCTTTTTTTGTATCGCTCATTTTTCTCTAAGAAATTCCAATGTTCGTAACATTTTAATTTCAGGGTATCACCAAACTGTTGAGCTTACGACTGAACCGAGACAAAATTGCAGTATTGATTAACAAATCGAGTAAATTTTTGGATTTAGAAACTTGCGATGAAGAAAACATTATTGCAGATTGTAAGGCATACAACTCAATAATCACCACTATGCTTCGTGTCTTGGTTGCTGCTTTATTTGGCAACATTCTTGTCTTTAACGCAGCCGCGGTACTTTTGGGTAAGTTGCAAGTATACATTGTGTACATTCTATTCATTGTATACATTTTATACATTGCATACATCCTATACATTGTATACATCGTATACATTGTATACGTGGTATACGTTGTATACATTGTACACATTGTATACATTGTATACATTGTATACATTGTATACATTGTATACATTGTATACATTGTATACATTGTAGTATCTGTAGACGTTGTATACATTGTATACATTGTATACGTTGTATATGTTGTATACATTGTATAAATTATATACATTGTATACCTATATACATCGTAGCACACATTGTGTACCGGTAGCCTCTACTGTATGACAGCTCTAAATTGTTTATTTTCCATAATCAGGCGATGGAGACGTTTCCTTGCTGACCATCTACAAACCCTCGTTTGTACCAGGATTCATAATGTACCTCGGACAGAACTACGTCTTAGTTTTGGTTGTCACTGCCGTAGTAGCACATGATGGTATTCTCATTACCTGCATTATAATGGCACAGGTGCAGTTCAAACTGATCAATAACAAATTAGCAAAACTGTTCGTTAAAAATCAGCAATACCGCAAAAATGACTTCGATAAGAGTATAAAGGAGTGTGTTGATCATCACAACTATCTATTAGAGTGAGTGTCCAAATAATATTGTATATTACCAATTCAATATTTAGAAAAGCGGACAAAAAAATTTAATGTTGACGAAAATCCGCTAATCCTTACTACCACGTTTTCCATTCTGCTTAAATGGCCATGCAACGTGGGTGGACCATGAAAGACCATACTCTTTGTAAGGCCAATTATTGAAAAGTACTTATTGCCATGCAATGCCAAAATCCTCCATCTCACACACCATTAATTAACGTCCTCCACCTCAATGCTAACATCCACCGAACTTGAGAACACGCGCCGTTATTTTGACAATGTGGTCCCTCACGTTGTTGACTTCGATCGTAGATGAAATTATAATACGAGCTCAAAACAAAACGTGAATTTTCAAGAAATCAGTTATGTTCTTCAAATTGCTTTACTCTGAATTGATACATAAGTATTTGCTATGGTGCTTCAGAAAAAAAAGTAAGATATAGGTAATGTTCTTAGAAAGGCCGATCGAAAAATTGACAGTTGGCCTTGCTAGGGAGCAAGGACCATATTAGGAACAGGAAAAAATATAAATACTAAAAAAAGTCCTTTTATGTAGATAAGTACCTATGTAGTTTAATCACAGCGTCAATTTTAAGTTAAATGACTAATTTATTATATCAGCCTTGTGTATATAGAGCTTTGTTCCTTGCAAGGCTGTTCAACGGAGTTCAATAAATAATTATTGATTCTGCATAAAAAAATATTTATTCATGTATTTATTTATTAATTTATGACTTCCCGTTACATACAAAAGAACCTAACATTTATGTAGAGAAATTATTAAATAAAGAAGAACCAAAGATTCATGTGATACCCAACCTCCCAACCTACGTATATAGGGTCAATTCACATATTTTGGTCTGTAGCATCTCACGTTTCAAGATTTCACAACCTTTCGCAGACACGTATATAAACCTTACTAATCAAAGTTAAATAATAATAATAGTAATAATAATAATAATAATAATGTCTTTATTAATCCCTCCACACTGCGAGGCGAAGTTTAGCCAGCTGGCTACTCTACCACTTAACCTCACAGCGCAGGAACACATACAAAAGGAAAAATATAACAATGAATAGCAATCGACTAAGTAATATATACAATAATTAAGCTTAAATAGATTAATCTTAATATTTTGTACATCTATTCCACATAGCCCGCTCTAACAAAAAAAAAACAATAAAGACAAAAAAAATAAATATATCAGCCAGCTTGGCTAGCAGACCCCAGAAGGTGGTTCTTAATGGCTCACTTGAATGCAAGTATTCCCATCTTTTTGTAATTGTCATTAAGCATTATACACCTTGACAACGTTGTAGGTGAAGCTACGATGGAAAATGGAAACATTTTTGATGTGGTTAATATTGCTACTGAGTTCGTCTTTCATTAACATTAAGATTTATTTGTGCAAGCAGCTCTGAGCAACCTATGACACCACTAACTATTTTAAACAGAAAACCTAAATAAAAAATTTCCCCGCTGTCGATCAAAGGGTCTTTGTTCAACGAACTCATTAGTTCTGAAGCACTCTTACTCTGACCAGTTTTATAGCTGCCTGTTTAAAAAATTACTTTAATACTCCGAACCAAAGAGCAGTATAAACTTCGAAAAATTTGCAAAGAGTAAATAACTGTTTACTTGTTAGAGTCGCCTTCCATGATCCGCCCGCCTCACAAGGTTTTTAAGTCTTATGCCCTGTAATTTCATATTCTAGATTCGTTAGCTATACAAACAGAACGTTTTCTTCAACATTGCTAGCCTATCTGGCCATTGTCATTCTAGCGATGTGTGTAGAATTTTACACAGTGAGTAAACAGTAAGTCACAAGCTGTCATTTTACCCCGCTTCCGTACTTATGTCAGATTTTTCCAGAATATCGTTGGAGGCAACTTTGAAGGCTCTAATTTATATAAGTGCCGTACTATTTCAGTTAGTTTGTTTTAACTGTATGCCTGGGCAGCTCTTGACGAATGAGGTATTTATCATATTAATCAATATAAACAAAGAGTGTTTTGAGAAAAATAAATGGTTCCAAATTTAGCAAATTTTAATTTTATTTCAGACGGAGAAAACGTCAGAGGTAGCATTTTACAGCAACTGGGAAGAGGTATCTTCCCCCTCAGTTATGTGCGCGGTTAAAATGATTATCCACAGAACCCAGAAGCCGGTATTTATATCAGCAGGCGGTATTTTGTCGATAAATATGGGCACCGGTATGGCTGTAAGTATAGCTAATTACTGTTGTAGCTCTCTTCGCCGTTTTTTTTTCGGTTACGTCATCAATGCCATACGAGGTAAGGATACAAAATAACGACACAGAACGAAAAACCTTTGTCAGAAGAGTGTAGCTTATTTTTCCTAACCAATATTCAACAGAGCTGTTACTCGCTCTTGCACACATGAAGTGGGTGATTAGAGCTCTTCTTTCCAATAATTTCTTGGTAATACTCCAATTTTAGCAAAAACTGTGGAAAGTATTTTATAACGGAGATTAACAAGAGGGTAATCTGAAATCGCACACCAATGAACAGAATGTTGTCACACCGACAGGATCAAGCGTAGTAGCAGAACGCTCATACGTTGCTACATAATTTTCGAGGTGGTGTGATACAACTAAAAAGCGTATGTCTGTGAGCTTACACTAGCCTCCATACTCGAAGGTAGAAGAATTGTGTATACCCTACAGCTGGTCAGCAAGTGACATTTTTGTGATAGTCTGCAACGTTGGCAGTAATGAATCGGGTATAAATCTAGCGTTTTGTTTTTGTATGCAAATGAACTTTTCAAAATAAAAGAGCTGTTAGCAAGTACAAAATGAATCTGTAGCATTCAAAAAACCAAAATAAAATTCGGCTCTGTCTACCTGACGTTGACGGATTCGTCAGAATTGTGTGCCCTGTGCCGATACGGGGAATTCTGATATATTACTAGATAATCAGCTATCATTCTACTGTGATGGATACTCGTGAAATAGGGTATACGTTGCGGCAAATGAAAATATGCAAGTGATACTGGCAAAATTTTATATATAGGCCCTTTGACGGGTTTTTGCGTGTAACAGTATCACAAATTGTGAAAATATTTTGTAGCACATAAAACATAGATTTACTGCAAATATGATAGCAAATTAAAATTAGTCTTCTTTCTCTTCTTCTTCTTAAAGAAATAAATAATAATCAGCTTCAGTTTCCTTATTACTTATCCAGTGATACGGTGATCATGATGGTAATCTACCAGTCTGTATCTGTTGTACACATAGAAACCAATACAGAATGCAGATCGATGTGACTGAAACAGAGTAAAGAATGTGCGTAAAATGCTTAAATGTAGTCCAAATATATGTCCCTCGAGTGCCCATTTGCCTAAATTATATAGATGGGTATGAGGCATAAAATAACTTTGATTCATTTGGAATCAAATGGAATATTCTAAAAAATCATTGAACATGGAACGTTTTCGGTATAAGGTGTTATTTCGGTAGAAACACCGCAAAATCGGTAGGCTCGGCAACACTGTCTATCACCCAATTCATGTATGTGTGCAAACGCGAGTAACATCTGCGTTAAGAATCGGCTTACGCATTGTGCAGTTTTCTTCAGGGAACTTAAGCTCTGAACATGGCAGTTCGTTGATCTCTTTACTTATTACCTATGAAATTGCGACGTAACCGCTAAAAAACGTGAAAGAGGCTATACACTGTGAATCAAATTTGTCTGACGGCCTGCGTTCAATGCGTACGAGAGATAAGTGCGTAGACACATATGTCAGAAAAAAACAAATATATATATATATATATATATATTGTTGAAGTTGAGTCATTAATTTTCAGATAATGATTGTAGAAGGAAGATAAACCAAAATATGTGTGTAAAAATAAAAAAAAATTTACCTTGCTTTATAAAGTATCCTCCCGACAAGTATTTCAGTGCGGACCTGTATTTGATCGTGAGGTCTTGGAGCACCGGCATGCCGTCGCCTGTGAGGTCTTAAGTCACCTGATTCACGAGCCCGTTGTACTACATTAACAAAGGCACGAGGGGTTGGTTGCACTCGATTGGGAAACCGATCCGCATAAACATGTGCCATTTTTTATTTCGTTTGAGCCACGCAACAGACACCACTATTCACTCACGCGTTACCGACTGACACTGACTGTATACAACGGAATAAAATAATTGTAAAAACATCGTTCCAAATTCTTTTGCTTTTTTGTTTCCGATGCGATGAACCGATAAGGCGGATTATATCCGTTGTTGCCAAACACGAGCACATAATATTATGATTGAGACAGGGCGGTACTCAAACTTCCAAAGGGCTATAACTTTGTTACTTTAATTTTACCAAAAAAATGGTAAAGGAAAAAAACATTTCTTTTGATCAGATCTACTCACAGTTAAAATAAATGACTCAACTTCGAAGTCACCCTGTATATATATATATATATATTTATATATCCTTGAATACTCTTATAACTCAAACTCGAACTTTCGAAAATCTATGTCTTCATCGTCTGGAGCTGGAAACAATTATTGACAATAGCAACAATTAACAATTAGGAGGAAAAATAGTTACTTACTAATTCGGCGAGATTGTTGTTGAAATTGTTTTTAAACAACAGTGAATGGAAGACAGAGTCGACGAATAAAAAACTAGACTGATGAGGTTCGATTAGGACGAAAGTATTTTATTACGTGTGACGTGTACGACATAATGAACGATCTTCCAATAACTTCAATGTCACATTTCATACGCCACTGTAGAATATCAGTCGGCCGGCATGTGTTGGATAATGTGGAGGTTATAAGTGAAAAAAGGTGAAATCTCGAAGGAATTTGCAATAGTTGATAGTTTTAAAATTTCCAAATTTCTTCCAAAATCAATCAACGTTTAAGTAAAAAAACCTTTCAAAATGATTTGCCATTTAATAATAAAATAATTCCGTCCTAATCGAACCTCAGCAGTCCAGTTTTTTATTCGTGTACTATGTGTTCCCTTCACTGTTGATTAAAAACAATTTCACCAACAAACTCGCCGACTTAGTAACTATTTTCCTCCTAATTGTTAATTGTTGCTATTGTCAATAATTGCTTCCAGCTCCAGACGATGAAGACATTGATCTTCGAAAGCTCGAGTTTAAGTTATAAGAGTGTACTTTTGAAATACTTTGCCTTCTACCTAAAGAAATTCAAGGATATTTTCTGATAACAGTTAAGGCAATTAACTATTAATACTATATATATACATATATATATATATATATATATATATATATATATATATTCCGCCCGCATAGCGAAGCTTGAATTAAGATGCGTATTGAAAATATGCGTTAGCTCATTCTTTACGCCTAAATAATGAATTTTTTTAGGCGTACACATTTTTGATTTACGAATTGTGTCGAATCTGTTAGGATTGATTCCCGATCGGTACTAACGGCGCTCCATTTTAGGCTGAAATGAAAGGTCAGGATCGCCACAAATTCTGTAGCATTGCATAATTATTGGATCGTTTGATAACACCGCATCTTGTAAATACCAAGGCAAAGTTTCCACCTCCATGTTCATAGTTAGATTTTGGTCAGTACCCATCTAGCGCTCGTAGCGAAGTGTCGTCCAGCTTCGAAATGGCTTTCACTTGCGTACACGCAGGCAGTGATAATTTGTATTGCGTGACGTTATTTGTTGCATTTTCCGACCACAGCGGTGTCGCAAAATGTAACAATAACTCAGGATGTGTTGATTTTATCACCATCGGTGGAAATTAAAGATAATTCTGCAATAAAGTAAAACATTAAGTCGCATCAAAATTGAAATAGATGATTCTAATCAAAATGAAAACAAAATAAATTAAATGTTCGAACAGACCTCCTTCGTTCTAACAGTAACCTCACCTATTGTAGCAGCCTTTACGAACATTTTCTGGTACGACCTTCTGCGTCACTGTTGCTCCTGTAGTAATGACCATCATCGCTCTTCAACCGGCTTCTATCCCTTTCTAACATGTGTTGATACACACTTCTCGCGCTTCTATCGCGAACAAATTGAACTCGAGCCGTCAGACAAATTTGGTTTTCCCTGTATGTCTTTTTATCCGCAATAATTGACGGTATGTGATAACAACGTCGCATCACGATTTAGGACTGTACCAGCAAAACGTACGGTTTGCATTAGTGTCTATGCCAGCCTTTAGATACTGTAAAATATCCTTTGTTCCAGACATTGAAAACTATATTCTCATACTACATGTTCCTGAGAACAGTGACAGAAGTCGTGGATTGAACATATTTCTCTGATATCTAACAGCACACTTCACCAGGTTTGAAATAAAACTTCAATGTTAAATCGAGATACTTTATTTTCTCATTCGATTCAGCACAACAAAATAAAGAAAACGCACTTGCAGTACTTAAAATTTGGCTTGAAGGTGTATAGTGTATACATCTTACAGAATTAAAACAAGTAGCATTTCATTCAGATTGCTACAATAAATCGGTACAGATTTTATTCTTTGCTTTAGACATGTATATGTCAGCGGTTCAGACAAAAAAAAATACATTTTTATATTCGCAAAGTTAAAATGAATGACTAAATACCTTTTGACAAGTGCCTTATTATAAAAGAGAACCTTCAACCAAGACCAAACAAAACTTCACAATTTGCACTTAGCCGACAAACAAACACAAGCATCTACTATAACCCTTCTTCTATCAAAACCACGAGACTTCAAGCTGAACCCTACAATGCTTTCACTTTAAGCTGCTTCATCTTCGGTCCCCTCTTCTTTGCCTGTCTCTTTTCCTCTTTCAATTCCCAGCGACGTTGCCTTTCAGGATCATCCTCGGCCATGATCTTCTCTTTTTCTTGTCTCTTTCTTTCCTCTCTTCTCGCTGCTGCAGCCTCGGCTCTCGCCTGGTGAGTCGATTTCAAAAAGGCTTCTTCTACGCGCTGTCTGTTTTTGTCAGCCTTCGCTTTTCCTACAAGAAGGTTCGCCGGATAAATAATAATCGTCTTCGTTTGGGAAAAGTTTAGCAACCGCTATTCTTACACTTAACCCCTTTCCCTTTCCCGAAATTCATAAGTCATTTTGAGGGTGACGGTATGAAATTGTAGTTGTATTGGAAGAAAAATAAATAAAATCAGGCTCAGCACTTAATTTGCAGACCTCGTATCTATAACAATGATGACCAGGGATTTACATATAGGGAATTAACAAAGGTGTTCGTCGCGATCATGTGAATATCTCGGCCCGGTTGTCACGTTCTCGGTGGCGCAATATACATTTTTATTATGAGTAATCTTGATTTTATTTATATATTTTGGAAACAGACTCCTCAAATACACATCAAAGGGAAGTCATTGCCCATCCCCGTTACAGCTCTGACGTATTCGTTGAAAAAAATGACGACTATGTAAATGGTAAATTCGTTTATCCAAATAAAAAATTACTTGTATCTGAAAAAATGTGAAAACCTTATTTTTGAAGCAACCATCGTACAATATGTTGTGAGTATATTACACAGTTGGGGCATCATAGTGTGTAAATGGCAGGATTGGTTATTGATGAGCATATTTAAATCCTTGATGTTACCAGTCCGGATGCTGTATAATTTTTTGGTTTGGTGGAAAAAATGTATTCAAGTTACACGTTGAATGTCTTCATTAGGCGGTCATACGACCGGCTGTGCAATATTAAATACAACACTTGCAGGGTCTTTTAATATTATAATATCTCGAAAATGCAGGTCACCATCAGCGTGTTGGTTATCCTCCAAAATTCTTTCTGGATGATATCGAAAACGCCCGACTGGATAATTAAGTAGTAATTATATATAATCAAGGGTTTCTCACAAGTGTATGTATGACAAGCAAATCATGACCCATTAGTCAAATATGTTAAAGTTGAGCTAGTATCACTCGTTAGCAACTGCGGACATGGCGAATACCCTAAACATTGATGGCAAACCTCCATTGACATTTTCGGTCTGCATGAAGAAAGAAATATGCCTGATCGATTTAGGAGAAAGTTCACCGAAAATACTGGAATACCGTCGAAAAACTGGGGTTTGAACGACGAAAAAATGACTAATTATTACCATGACTTACCTTCCTTAGATAATCTGTAACGTTTAACCTTGTCTAGACAATAAAAAACCATAACCATCAACGGTTTCAGTCTCTGCATTGCTTCTTCTAAAGGCATTCCTTTCACAGGAATATTAAACACAAACATCAACACCTGCAATAAGTTTGCGATTTATATAAAACTATAGAACAGAACGTGAAAGAAAATAGTGTACCTTCTCTGTTTCAGGCAACTTTAAGCTTCCACCATCTTCAGCCTGTTTGGCTCCAGAAAATTGGTCAGAAAAGTGAATACAGTCTACATACTGCGGGTATTTATTTAACACAGCCACAACCTAAAACAAGACTTTTTCTCTTAACTGCTTCGCTTGATCAAAATCAAACAAGAATACATTTCTTTAGCTGAATAATTGGGCTTTCTAAAATCATCAGTTTTCAGCCATTATTATCTAGAAAAAAATGAGAATTTCGCGTTAGGGCTAGTCTGTCCCTGATTTTTCCATATACACCATGTGAGGCCTCAACAGGTCACTATGCTTTCAAAAATTTGTTCGGTTATCCATTCTTGTTGAAAATTTATTTACGAAATACCAATTTCCAGTACAAAATTTTGCTCTTTCAGAAGTTCAATTACAGCTTGTTACCAGCGGCGATTTTTAGAGCCTTGTATCCCCTAAGATTAGCCCATTAAGAGAAACTCTATTTTTAATGCCCTAGATAGGAACCAAGAGATTGCAATGAACATTAAATACATTGAAGACTGGTTCTAAAACTGACCACATGCATCCATATGCAATAAGTGTTCCTCAATTGGGAATATTCTCAAATGTGTTCAAAGTCAGTTATTCTATGTGATATTGTTTGCCTTACCTTAGAGTCTAACATGGCGGCAGTCGCCTCGGCGATCTCCCCCATGACATTAAAATTGGACGGGATGCCGAACTTGTCACCCGGTTTCCGTTCGGGACAGTACACGCTCAAGTCCGCCATTTCCTTAGCCAGCTGGACAGCGGTTTTCTTGGCTGCTACGCAAAACACGAAGCTGTCCATGTCCTCTTTGTTCATGTGTACTGTGATGTGGATTTGGTCCATTGTGGGGCGCATCATGCCTGATATTACTGCCACTAGGTCTTGCCTCTGGATGTTGATATTAAAAAATTATTGATAGTTTCATACAAAATGTGGGATCACTAAGACATTGTTTATTAGTGGTGATATGGAAATTTTTCCTAAGATAATGGGAGATTTAAAAAAAATGGACAGAATCAATCAATATTTTAAAAATAACTCATATCTTTTTTTTGTTTGTTAAAAGTTGACATTGTACACTACCACATCTTTCTACATATCTAGTCCCGTTTTCAATAGTCATACTACAGACTGTAATCAAAGTAATGAATATAACATGATTACTTAGCAATAATGTAACAATTAGTCACAAATACCCAAAAGTGACAAGGATCAACATCTCTAGTTAGGCATCCATAAGATTTGAGGGAAACATCCTTTACTGTCTGATGTTGACAGTTTGGCATGGAAAGTATGGCCATGTTCAAACTGTATCCAAAATAAAGTCAAACCCTAATCCTTTGTTCTCTTTTAATGTAGGAATTTCAAATACATCTTTTTTCAACACACAAGTGAAAAAAGAACAACAAACTGCACCATCCTTGAAAGATGGGTGTAAAGAATTTGTTTCAGCAATCAAAAATACTATTTTATCTAGGTAGATAATACTCCATCCTAAAGATTGTTTATAACCACATTCAGATACTTAACCAATTAATAAAAGTCAAACTTATTTGCTCCAGTAAAATTTGAAACTAATTGTTCCAATCTCTAGGTATTATTATAACCATAGACAACAGAATGAAAGACAAAAAATATTGTTTGCTATTCAGTATTAAAGATCTTTTCTTAAAATATAAACATTGGAAAATTTACCTTTATGAGTTTCAGTTCAACCAGCATGCCTTCACAGCAAGTTCTTCCACTGCACCATAATGTGAAAATATTTTCACTCTCCTTTACCAAGCTAACATTATCATTCCTATCTAAAGAGCCATCATCTCCTACCATGGAGAAATTATCTTCAAGAATTTGCCGATGAGTTTGGAACCAAGCATGGGCAATTTTTGTATTCTTGCTTTTTCCAGTAGCAAAGTTAATGAAATAGACAATCAAGCCTGACATCATCAGGATTTCAAGATAGTAGCTGTCCCAGTTTTGTCTGAAATTCACTGGAACCTAAAAAATTTCATACATATATTTTTGTATCAACATTCAATACGGTTCTATTTAAAATCACAGGAATTTAACTTTTATATTTAAAATAGGTATAAGTATTTGAAGACAACTGTACTAAGAATAAGGTTTTTTTTGTGTGAAAGGTCGGCAGTTTTCATTACAGCAAATCATATATTTTTCATAAAATCATTTCTTTTAACAACTGAACAAAGTTATCCTCTGCTTTAATCACTCCTCCATCATATGTCCAAATTTCTTGTTTATATCTCAAAAAACATTTGAACATCATTCAACTGTAATATATTTTTTTAAATAGTTTTGAAAAAAGGTTTGTCTCCATTAATCCCTTATCATTCATATGCCCATATCCATATTAGTATCTCAAAAAATGAATTAGTTATGATAGAATTGCTGCTGTGGTTATATAGAAATTGATAACCCTTGAGGGAATTATTTCTCAGTGCTATCACATGATCAATATTTACGGTGATACATCAGTATTTATATCATGGAATGTGGTATTTATTGACCATGTAGCTAGGATTTTGTTAATTATTGATGTATAAGATTCAGTGACACTGACAGAATGATCAGAATATACTGATGGTATAAGCAATAGTAGATACTGATATCATAGATTCAAAATCTTCTCAAACTGGTACTGAGGTGGTGCCTTAGCACTAGCAATCTTACGTTAAGACTCATCTTGAAGGTATATATGATAAAACCATTTTTTAAACCAGCTAGTTTTAAAGTAGATTTTCGAGAACTAAGAATGAAGCTCCTGAAAATGTTTCATACAGTCACAGGTGAGGTTTCAAAGCTTACCTTAGCGATGGTGATCTTGGGTTCACTTGCAGGTTTTTCATCCTTAACTTCAAACCCTTCGAATTCTTCCACATCCTGGAAGTGTTCGAATTCAGGATCATCATCTTCCACGTCGTCTACAACTACATCTTCCTCGCCTCCTACCTCAAATTCGTCATTGTGGGCTTCTTTGGAGGATTTTTGGGGTTCTTCATTCACAAGGGGCAGCTCTTCTTCCACTTCAAAGTCTTCAAACTCTGCGAATTCATTATCGGAGAGGTCCTGATAATGATTTGCTGCAATTAGACTCCCTAACACAAATAGGAGCAAAATTTGCCCCCAATATTTCATTATCACTGATATCTAATAAAATCCTAATCACGAAAAGATATTTTTATTTTTGTCATCGGTAAACTGACAGACGCCAGATCGTCAAAAGTCTAGATAGGCAACCACAAAAGCACCGTTTTGCTAGAGATGGGTGGTGATCATTTTAGTCACGGTTATTGCCAGGGGTAGGCAAAATAGGAGTTATAGTACGGTTCAGTTAGCTATTTGTGATTGATTCTACAAAAAAATAGAACAGCGCAATTGAAGTGAATCAAACAAAAGTGCTGATGCGCTAGAATACATACTAAAGTGCAGAGTTTTAAAGCTATTGAAACTTATGCGATTTAAAAATGTACAAAGGGCTCAATAATAAAATCGAAAATTTGAAATGAATTTCAATACTCGTGCAGTTTCTATGCTTCATTTTACTTTCAGAAGCGTTCGGAATTTTCGACAAGTCGTAGGAATAAATTTAGAAGATCGCATATTCTCAACACAGCATTCACTAAATGTATTTTTCTGAGCATCAGAAAGACAATATTAAATTCCAATCATCTTTACTCTGCTGGGCAAGAAAAAATCAGAGATTTTTGGAGGTTTTTTGGAAATGGATAAATAAAAGGCCATTTTACTCCTGTTTATTTAATCTGTTGCATAAACATGTTTACATTTGACAATGAGATGAAGTTGCTGGTTTAGAAAAAATGCTAGCTTTGAAAACTATCCTTGATGAAACATATTTATTTTGTTTTACGAGTATTATTTTATATATATTTTATAAATATAATGAAAAATAAAGGCTTTTAATAAAATATGTATTTGCAACTTTTATCCAATAAAAAACGTACTCCGACGGATTCAACTTAGATTGCTTGGACTTCCTTGGGCGGAGAAACGGGTTCGTTGGCCTGTCCGTCGATGCATTTCCACAATCCGTATGTTTTTCCTATGGTGGTCTGCCATAACCTCAAAGTGCCGTCCTCTGATCCCGAAGCGTACAGTTCGCCGTCTGGTGAGAATTTGACGCAATGCACAGGGCCAAAATGCCCTTTGAAGGACTCCATTTCTATTCCATTGGCGTAGTCAAACTTATAAACCTAGAATATTGTATTTAGAATTTATGTGTATCTTTATTTCACATAGTGCAGTGGATGATTCTGAGGGAGTCTTTTCACAGAAAGCAACTACCAACCGCAGCCCGATTCAGCAAATGTATTCAAAAGCAAGTCTCACAGCACAACGACGGCAATGTGACCATCTGCTCGATGCTGGTTCCTGGCGCTGCAATCGCTAGTATGCGGTGAAATAGAAATTTCAATGTTTAAATTCTCGATTAAAATCCGTCGTCGTAATTTTATAAAATTTAAATACACCCACAGTCACTCACACTGCTGATTCGAATCCAATGACACCTCATTGTGCCAAAATCCAGAAAAGCCATGCGCGAGAAACATAACCCTCCTTCTGAGGCAGCCGGGTAAAAAATACTGCATATCGTCGTTGTTTTGATGAAAGATGTAACAATTTTTCCACACCGGAGCTTCCTGAATATCTGTATAGTCAAATATGAGCTCCGTGATCTGATGTACAAGAGTTTAATAACAAGAAACTCTAGTAATTCTGTAGGTATTTACTAAAAATTGGTGTGAATGAGTCTTTAAAATTTAATTCTGTAAAAACTGCTTCTAAACACATAGGAGTTCTCGTCAAAGCAACAACGACATGCTGATAGATTCATCTGGCTAGATTTTATTTGTGAAATATATTATTTATAGGATTTTAATTTCAGGTAGGAGCAACGCTACCGGAAGTTGAAATCGGCAGTGGTTTTACGTAACTTTTAAATTTTTTTCTAACACTAAGTAGATTCCTTATGTAATGTCATATTTTTCCTATTAAATGTCAACTTGAAACTAGCTTCATTCCATGTCCTCTCAAGAATGAACAATATGGTAGATTTTTTGACATCAAGAAATATTTTTGCGTAATACCCCTGCCGAGTGAAAATGGATTGCTTTCAGTGAGAGTACCTCAGACCTCATATACTATATGTAATGCATTAATGTTTACCTTTAAATCGTCACCTCCTGCCACAAATATATGTTTATCAGGATGAAGAGAAGCAGAGTTGACTGTTGTTGGTACAGATACTTCTTTCAGCTTTTCAAGTGTGTCTGCATCCAGAAAAGTGACACGGTTTGAGTGGGACACTGTCAGTACTGTACCATCTTTAGACACTTCCAAACTGTTTGGAATCGAGGGAAAATCTACTTTTTGTATCTCCTGAAAATTCATGAAAAATATCAAGCTGGAGCCTAACCAAAAGCAAACATTCCATAACTGTACAGAAGTGGAATCGACACTTAGGCAACTAGAGGTACGCGGCTGGGGGGTGAGCGATTACGGCCTCATTGAAGAGTTTCGCGACATTGGGAGAATTTGACAGCCATCAAAAAGCATCGGTCGACGTCTCGATAACTTCGATGCAGCCCTGGAATAATCTGGATTCCTGGATTGGCCAATGATGGTAGAAGACGTAGTCGAGGCAGCGGACAGTCAACGAGCAGCAACCGACGCGTCAACATAGTCAAGTCAAAATGGTTATAAATATGTCATGAATTAACTGCAAGTGTTATAAGTGTGGAGTAATAAATTAGACATTCAGTATTTTGATGTAATCTTTACAAATCTATTTTCAATATTGTAGCAAAAATATTAGCATATCAGCAAACCTTCCCATTAAGCTATACGATACCCGTTTTTAATTGACATTTTTTGTTATATATCATTAGTCCGTTTTTTCTCTGCAAACAACCTTTAAAATTACTTTTCAAGTAACCAATATGAATCACCTTTTCAGCAGCAATGTTCCATACTCTCAAAGACTTATCATCTGCAATGGACACAATGTGGGTGTCATTTCTGAAGAAAAGGGCCTGTTTTATGCTGGATGTATGGCCACTAAACAGTTGTGGACCTAAAACAAATATTAACCAAAATATGTATGGTAATCTATTTCTCAAAGTAATACCAAACAGTAGTTATACCAAATAAATGCTCTTTCATAATATGATTTGAATGATGTTTGAACTTAAATAACTAATTTAACTTCAAATATGTCTAATAAACAATTTTATTGGGAGAGTTTTGCAAACATATGCTCAACACATAACGATTCTTGCCTCATTCAGCTGGAAGTTTATTTGAAAAATATTGCATGTCATTAAAAATTTGTAACTCTTGTTGATTTAATTCAGACTCCAGATAAATGCTTACTTGCATCAGGTTTCTCTAAATCAAATACCCTGACCAATTTCTCATTGCTGCCTGTCGCTAATTTGGTAGAATCCTTTGAGAAGTTCACACTTTTTACAATATGGTTATGCTGGAAGGAGTGCATTTCTTCACCAGATACAGCATTCCATACCTAAATATAGACACACAAGAAATGTATAAACATAAATATCAAAAGTGTTCACAAGAAATAAATGCAATGCAATGAAAACAATCTCTCTGAAACTGTCTCTGAAGCGGGATTGAGCGTGGATGCGTTTCTGGGCCGTTCGCAACGCACTAGCGAATATTCGACATGTTTGGGAATGAATCTGGCGCCATCTAGACCACTTCCATGAAAGTTCTCAAAAATGCTGGAATGTTTCTCGACTCGTCGATGGAGGAATAAATACCCGACTAGATGGCGGAAGCGAGCAGTCACAGTCGAGACACAGTCGAGCCAGTGGAAAGTGAACGCGGAATTAAAATGGAATATAGTCCAGTCGACAGAGTTATAAATTAGTTGCAAGTGCTATAATTTAGTGAAGCAGCAATAAATTATAACAAAGGACAGTGCTTTCGTGAGAACAATATAACCTCAAAATACGGATTTTGTAATATATAGTATAATAAAAGAAAGTGATTTTGAGGACCTGAATCCACCATTACTTCAAAATTACAAAATATAACCATCAGTTTTTTTAATTCACGCCAAATTCATCATTTTTCAATTAGACAACGTCCATAGTTTTTTCAAATTTAGACAGATTCACCATATTCTAAAATTATGCAATATCCGCCGTTCTTTCTCAAAATTAGAAAACATCAAATGATTCCAAATTCACCATTTCTCAACACTAGACTGATTCCACTATTTTCCAAAATTAGACATTTACCATTTTTTTAATTGGGCCTAACTCATGTTTTTAAAATTAGACAACATCCACCACTATTTTAAAATCAGGCCAAATCAAGCTAGGCATCCACACCACAATATCCACCATTTAATCAATAAATGTGCATCCACCATTTTTTAAACTAGACAATGTTTACTGTCATTTCAAAATAAGGACAAATTAATTGTTTCTTAACTATACATTCACCATTTTTTTATTATCATATATTTGCCGTTTTTAAAATTATGTTACATTGACTAATTTTTTAATTAGGCTAAATCCACTATTTTTCAACTTTGATATCAACTATATTCCAAAGTTAGTTGACATCCACCCACCATTATTTCAACATTAGACTGATTTCACTATTTATTTTATCATACTCTTAAGTAGATAGCTAGTAGATTCCAATAGGCTCATAAGATTTCATAAATGATAAAACAAAATAATATATATGATACTTTCATTACTTTCATATTTATGAATTAAATATGCAATAACTGTTCAAAGCGGGAGCAATGTACAGTTTGTCCTTTACCTTGCCAGAAAAGTCAGCTGCCCCAGTGGCAGCTCTAGTAGCTTCTGAATTCAGAGCCACTCCCCAGACAGCCCCTTTATGACCCTCAAAGGTGCCGATCCAATCCCCTGTATCACCTTGACGCAACATTGGCTTTCCATCTAATAAAAAAAAATAACAATTGATGTTTTAATGCTAGAGCCAGACCCATGACTGAGGGGGCCTTGAAGAAAGCAACATTTCATGCCTTCTTCTATATATTCACTTTATATTTTCCAACAAGATACCAGAAGCTTCCTAGTGAAAATCATTGCAAAGCAAAAAAAATTGACTACAAAATAAAAAATTATGATTATGATTCCTGAAATAAAATACTGAAAATGATTATACATGCTTTTTTTTCATTACCTACATTGTATCTACACACTACAAGTACATGCATAATTTAAAGACAGAACTATACTATGAATTAGTTTGCATTCTCATGTAAATACATAAAGTCCTGAATAAACTTTTTGTTAATCATGATATTGTCTCACAAAGCAAATATTTTTCCTTGTATTTCAAGAACAAGTGCACGATAGCAATCGCGATTTTGAACACGTTTTAAAGGCCACATTTTATTTCCTGTTTTCCTGCATAGGTGTGAGCGACCCTGACGAGTAAAAGACCGCACCAAGAAAATAAAACTTACTCCAAATGCAGTTCGCATAATAGCAAAACGGTCGGTAGAAGGTCAGACACAAAAGCAGGCCAAGGAATATAGAACTTGAGTTGCCATGGACTCACCTTTACATGCCGAAATCAGATAATATCCGCTATTGGTTACATCGCTAAAATCGAGATGAACCACTGGGCGAGTGTGTCCGCTGCATGTCAGTGGAGTCTGCCGAAGACTTGCCATGTTATCTAGTTATTGATACAGAATGAAATCATATACGGGGACAAGATACACGCACACAAAATAAAAATGATCGACCACCACCACTATTCCCCTCACAAAACATATACACTATTCCACTTGACAAGCAATCAACAAGAGAGATGGCAGCCACCTGACAGCAGTCAGCTGTGGGCTGTCATAATGACAACGCATGACACGGAACATCAAATTCTTAAAGCCAGAAGATAAAGAATAGCAGCATAGAGTCGGCCATGATAGCAGTCTTCGACAGATAGGACTTCCTTTACCATGTTTCTCTCACAGCTGACTAAATTCCCAACATCTGTTGACTAAGGCATTGTATACAGTAGTTAATCAATGCATCAACATAAGTTGAAAGGATTTTTAGTGAGAGATATCAATGGTAAATATAATTTTTACAAGAGTATGCTATACTCTGCGAAAAGCAATGATAATTTATTCCATGCAGTAGGAAATAAAATGTAGGTTCAGATCATGTAACTTTACTATATAATGTATTAGTTCCTATCTCTCTAGGGAGTGTCGATGTCTATTGTCAGCGATGGTCAGCCTGTCTTTTTGGCTTTTCGTGTTTTGTGTTTTCGTGTTCCATCATTTTCAAAAAAGGAGGGCTGAAAATGGAATTCAATTTGACTTGGATTTTATCCATATTTTGATATTTTACATTTTTTGCCTTCTTGCTGTATTAAATTGTGGAAATAATTTTGATTATCTATAAATAGTTTTCATAATTTATGCTTTATTATTCAGTAATCAGTCGGGCAACGTGCGAGAGATAAGCCGAATTTCATTTTTTGAAATGAAAAATGTATGGATAACTTCGTGAAATTATATTCCAATAGCATTCTGTTTGGAAAACCATGATGGATATCGACAAACAATCAAAAGACAAAATCCTATATATTTCCTCCTTTGTGGTAAGTAGTAGGTTAAAGGTTAAAAGCTATGTAGGTTACATAGTGATAACTATTTCTGGTACTCTCGACGATTAACTGACGCTTAGCACATTCTGTTTTACTCGTAGTTGCTTTTTTATAAATGGATTTATCAGATCTATTGAAAACTCAGGTTTTCTTTCTACCCCTTTCTATTCTATTAATTTTATCACTTGACAATAAATCTCTTTGGTCGAAAAGGGGTGATCTAAAAGCCTGTCAAAGCCGTCTTAAGCTATTTAGGGGCCCTTGGGCACATAAGCAGCTCAAGGCCTATAGCAGAAAACAACTGGGGCCCTGCTTTGTCCTGGAGAAGCGTGCAAGAGGGAGTACTCAGACTTTTTTTTGAAACTTCGTTTGATTTCTGAGCATTTGGGGACCCTGAGTGCCCATTTTGGGTAGAAAAGAAATACTAGCCATTAAAAGTTGTGTGCTTCATCAGTTTGAATTTAATTATTTCTACAAGTCAAAGACAGACTTTAGTGTAAAATGGTTTGTTATATAAAACAGATTGTTGAGGGAAGATTAGTACATCAGTGTTTTATGGTGTTGATACATACCTTTTCTTTGATTTAGAGCTTATCAGAAGAATAATTTTTTATGTCTCAAAAATTAAAGTAGGTTTCAAAAAAAAAATACATGTATCTAGCATCAATAGAGATGATGAATTTGGTATTTAAAGTCATATGTACGTTTTTCAAGGGAGGAGGAGTAGCAGGACTTTTTGTGGATATGGTGCTATATCCATTAGACACAATGAAAACAAGGTTACAAGCTGAACAAGGGTTTAGGAAAGCTGGTGGTTTTAAAGGAATCTACAAGGGAATTGGTCCACAAGCTGTAGGATCTGCACCTCAAGGTATATGGATTATAGAGACATCAAAAATGGGAATAGGAAAGGATCCTGACTATACACTTCTATGGTATTTTATATTCACATTCATTTTTTTGCGAAGGAAAGGTTTTATATACACTTTCATGCAGAAAAGCTCAACAGATGCCTTTCCTGCCTGAAGTGTGTGATTCTTCAAAATATGGCATACTGCACTAAAAGCCATGAGTTGTTCGCCATGCATCCCAAATGGAAGTGTATGGCTGCATCTCATGGTGCGTGGCATCATGCTAGGATTCTTGTCTAATGTCTCATCCTGTGTCCTCCCTCAATGCATATACATATGCGTATACCCAGCCTTTTGTTGCCTTCCCCTTCTATTATTCTCGTCACAAGCTTCATTCGCCTCATTGTTGGTTGGATTTCAACGTTTTGTCCTCGCCTACGTGCTTGACAAAATTGTCAGCAATAAGCCTCTCAGCCGAGTGTCGACCCAACTATACCTACCTCATTTTTGTAGATGCTCATGAGTATCCTACTCATTAAAACAATACGCGCAGTTTGCGTATTGCCTCTTTCGTATCCGGCTTAAGTAGCTTCTAAAACATCCATGTCCCATAAGGAACAGTGCAGTATAGAAATCTATCCATACGCCTTCCGCTGTCACCTGAGCAAAAGTTGCCTATATTTCTTCTTTTCAATGTATTTTCGTACATGGGAGCCCCATATAACGACCCTATTTGCTTTATCCACCCCTAATGAGTGGGGCCGTGGCAAATGCTTGTTCCGGAAGTTGTTGTATCCAGTATACAACTTCTTCTCGTTCAAGTTTGTCCACGCGTTAAGGAATACCTCAGTACCGATTGCCGGGTGGCGGTACAAGTCCGCCAACGGGCCACTTTAGGTCTATTTAACATCACTAACACGTAAAAAGAAGGTGGTAGACAAGGACCAGTCGACCGAGGCAGTACCACCCGCTAGCTTTTCCCAGGGTGTCTTATAAATGTCCGCATGTTTCCACACCTAAGCTATGCAGTCGGTTATCCTCCAAAACAAAGAAATTAATGATGATGGATCCCTCGAGCACTAAGAACTCCGGACGTAAACTCACTCCACTCTCGGAATGTCCGGGTGGAGGGTGGGCTCGAGGGAACCACATCGAAGATAAAATTTGTTTTTCGAACATCTGCGGGATTAACAGCAACATTGATGCTGTTCATCACTACCTGCAATCCAATCGTCCCGCCGTGCTTTTCTTGGCGGAGACAAAAATCTTAACTTCCCAAACTGCGAGGTGCACTCCAATCTGAGAAAGAACGGGGTAGTTGTGGCTTTTGTCCGCAGCAGTCTTTCCTGCTCCAGAGATGTTTCTTTGGAATCAGACCGGAAGGACATTCTGTGGCTTCGCCTCAACTCCAAAACATCACCCAAGTTTATTTGCTGCCTTTATCGCTCTCCCTCGGACCATAACTGGGATGATCTACTCGAATACCTCGCCGTCCAGATCGACTTCCTGAACATCAACCATCCCGCTTCAGAGGTAGTTCTTCTCGGTGATTTCAATGCCCATAACGAGCTTTGGTTTGGGCTCAAACAAGACCGACGCAGCAGGTCGTGCAGTCGAAGCGTTCGCTCTTACCCAAGGGCTGACTCAGCTGGTGACGAGTCCTACTTTTTTTCCCCGCGTCTCGTCACACGCCAGTAGCCTGCTGGATCTCTTTCTGACCACGCATCCTGCCCCTCACAGCACTGCTGCCCTGTCCCCCCTGGGTAACTCAGACCACGGTGTTGTGGAGGTTAGGTTTCGGTCAGAACCCGCTGTGGCAGCAGAAACTCGTACAGGCCGCAAAACTTGGCATTACGGACATGCCGACTGGGAGTGGCTCAGAGATTTCTTCTCTAGCTTTCCTTGGAAAGATGTCTGTTTCACTGACGCGGATCCGTCGGCTGTCTGCTCTTCGATAACCGAAATTATCCACGTTGGAATGGAGGAATACATCCCTCACACAGTGAAACTGCCTAGACCAGGGTCCAACGGCTGGTTTAACAAATCGTGTGATGCTGCTCGCCAGCAGAAGATTAAGGCACACAGAACCTTCTTACAAAACCCCACTGTAGAGAACAGACAAGCCGACGTTGAGCCCAGAAACAAATACAAAGCAGCGGTTCGCAATGCCAAAAACCAGCATGATATAAAAGTTAGGCACAGGGTAATGTCGCAGCGCAATGGCAGTCGGTCTTTCTGGACGCTGCCCAAGCAGATTGAAAAGAACTTCTCACACAGTAGCCTTCCACCACTCATGTGTCAGGATGGAACTATTGTATTCAACTCAAAGGCCAAGGCGGAAGTGCTAGCCAAGATCTTTGCTGCCAACTCCACCATGGACGTCCCCCCCAACGCCCAAGTGCCGTCAATTCAAAGGCGGGAGGTAACATTCAGGCCTAAGACCGTAGTAAGACGAGTGCTCTTGTCGCTCGACATCAACAAAGCTTCTGGTCCAGACTTGATTCCTGCCATTGTACTGAAGAGGTGTGCACCCGAGCTTGCTCCAGTTCTTTCGCGTCTCTTCCAGATATCTTCTGAATCCGGCACCTTGCTCATTTGCTCATTTGCTCATGTCCAACCCATCCAAAAAAAGGGATCTAAGACCGACCCTTACAACTACAGGCCTATAGCTCTGCTTTCTGTTTTAAGTAAGGTGATGGAGAGGTGCATAAATCGCGAGCTTCTGGACTACCTCGAACGTCACGGCTTGATTAGCGACAGGCAGTATGGTTTCCGGCACCAACGATCCACAGGGGACCTCCTAGCTTACGTCACTCAATTGTGGTGTAAACTCATCCAGTCTTATGGTGAGGCTCATGTCGTTGCTCTTGACATCACGAAAGCGTTCGATCAGCTGTGGCACGCTGCCCTCTTAAGCAAACTTCCATCCTATGGCCTCCCAGAAAAGCTTTGCAGATGGATGGCTGACTGATCTCTGGCCGCAAGATATCCGTCGTAATTGACGGGTTCTCCTCTTCATCCCACAACGTCAATGCGGGTATTCCCCAGGGATCGGTCTTGGCTCCGACACTGTTTCTCTTACATATCAACGACCTCCTTTCCTGCACGATCAACCCAATTCACAGCTTTGCTGATGACAGCACTCTACATGCAGGAATTCAGAGTGACAAGCCGATCTCTGCCGCTGAGTTGAAAAAAAGAAGACTATCGATGACTTCCTCTCTGACAAGAGACCTGGAAGCTATCACTGCTTGGGGACGCAACAATCTTGTACAGTTCAATGCTTCCAAAACGCAGTACTGTACTTTGACGAACAAGAAGCGTCCCTGCGCTCACCCGGTTTCGATGGATGGACGAGTTCTGCCAAAGAGCCATTCATTTCGGCTGGTCGGAGTCCAGATCACCGAGGATCTGATCTGGCACGAACACATCTCGTCAATAGCTGCAGCTGCTGGAAAAAAGCTAGGCTATTTGTTTAGAGCTAAGAAGTACCTTTCTCCGCATGACCTTCTCACTCTATACAAGGCCCAGATAAGGCCTAACCTCGAGTATTGCTCGCACGTTTGGGGTGCTGCCGCCCCGACTACATTATCCATGCTCGATGCTGTCCAGAGGAGGGCGGTCCGACTGATCGATGACTCTTCTCTAACAGACAGTCTCGGGACTCTTTCGCACCGGCGGGCTGTCGGCGATCTGGCTCTTTTCTACCGTTACACCAACGGGCTTTGCTCCTCGGAGCTCTCTTCCATGATGCCGTCGCGCGATGTGCCTGCCAGACAGACCCGCCTAACTTTGGCGTCCCATCCTAACCGTGTCGAACTTCGTACATCCAGAACCGGCCGATACGACCGCTCCTTTGTCCCGAGGGTGTCGAGATTGTGGAATAATCTACAAGAGGGGGCTTTTCCCAGTTCTATTAACCTTAGGCAGTTCAAAAATCGTATTAATAAAATTTCTTTGGAATCATCATAGCAGCCGCGGTGTTCCGGCATTTGGGCTTCTGCCTGCGCGGCTGCTTCGATATATAAAAAAAAACACGGTGCGCTTCATCTGCTCAGTGAGCGTTATGTCTTTATATCTTTGTCCAGTCACACTCTCAGGTATTTAATGTACGCCGACTTTGTATCCCAGGATTGCCAACATTTGCTGACAGTGAGGTGCCTGCCATCTCTGGTGCTTTTGTATTACCACCTCATTTTTTTCAGCAGCTAGCTTCAAGCCATTTTCATCCATCCATATATCTTGGTTTATTATATATGCCAGGAGACTTTTTAATGTATTTTCCTACTTGCTTGTTAAGGTGCGTATACATATGCGAGCCGCTTGTGAGCCGCTCGATGGTGGTTCGTTGAAATGATTTTTTCCGCGAACCTCCAGCGACCCACAGGTTCAGCGCACCAAACGCAAACAAACATCGCAGTCGACAAATGCAGTATGGCTTCGCGAAACGAAAATTATACTATTTTTTTGCCGGCGATAGCGCATTTGCTTTAAGCGAAAATCTCATGAAGCCCTATACTGGGGACTTTCCAGAAGGAACTCCTCAACGAATTTTCAATTATCGTTTGAGTAGGGGTCGTCGCGTAGTTGAAAACGCATTCGGTATATCAAGTGCAGTGTTTAGGGTGTTAAGAAAACCAATGCTCTTAGAGCCTGCAAAAGCAGAGTGGGTTATAATGACAGTCATTCTTTTGCATAATTATCTCAGAAAACACTCACCAAATATTTATAACCCTTTTGGCACATTAGACTATGAAGTTAATGGAAATTTAACTGAGGGATCATGGAGAAATGAAGGAGATATGACGTCTATGGTACCTATACGAAATATTCCTCGAAGACCCACAAACTATTGTACAAAAGTTAGAGATGAAATCGCTAATTATTTTATAAATAATGGAGCTCTAGAATGGCAGGACCAATATGCTTGAACTTATAACAATAATTACTTACCGTAGCAAGTCTTTTTCGTGGCAAATCTCTGTCTTCTAAAAACCTAAACGCTTCATAGGCAAACCATCTGCTGCAATAAACTTCATCTCTTCCTGAAAATTAAAATCGAGATTAAAATTATATACGGCAAGTGAACTAACTTAATTAAAAACATATTATTTAGTTGAATTAAAAATTAAATTAGTATTAGCAAAAATATTTTGTATTATTATTTAAATAAAACACAACTATACTAAGTGACATATAAATCCGAACACCCAGTTTAAATGGTTTTATTTTAATAAAAGTTGGTGAATGTATTTATCTTACTGTAAATAACAAGTGAAAAGATTTTCAGCCTTATCAGTTGGACATTCCGGTTTTATACTGCTTTTTTTTAATTCACTAACGCTCTAAAAATGAATATTTCAGCCGCAGTAAAGAATCAACGTTGGCGGATTTTGGTTCTTGACATCCTTTACGATCGGTTACGATGCCTAGAGTACGGAAACCTGTACGATTTCGTCAACTTAATGAGTTTGATAGGGGCCGTATAGTGGGACTTCGGGAAGCTGGACTTTCTTTTCGGGCAATTGCAGCTAGAGTGCAAAGAAGTGTAGACACTGTGGTTAGGTGTTGTCAGGCATGGCTTCGAGAAGGCCGTACGCAAAGAGCAAGGGGCACTGGACGCCGCCGTAGAACAACAGACCGTGAAGATCGCCGCCTAAGATTATTGGCCTTAAGGGACCGTTTCTCCACTACCAGGTCCATTGCAAATGAATGGTTTGCAGAACACGGAAGACCTATTGGCATGCGAAGTGTTTACCGACGAAGGAGAAGTTTTGGCTTGTTTTCATACCGGCCACACTGGGTCCTCCCTTTAGCTCGAGAACACCGACGTAATCGCCTTGAGTGGTGCATACAACGGTCACTCTGGGATCAGGAATGGAACAGTATTGTCTTTAGTGACGAGTCTCGATTTTGTTTAGGCATGCACGATGGTCGTGCCAGGGTTAGAAGGCGACGTGGTGAAAGGAGGAATCCACAGTTTTTTGTTGAAAGACATGTTCATCACACTGTTGGAGTTATGGTTTGGGGTGCTATAGCTTATGGTTCCAGGTCACCTTTAATCTTCATCAGAGGTAACATGAACGCGCAGCGTTATATCCACGAAGTTCTAGAACCCCATCTTTTACCCTATCTTGACACCCTGGCAGATCCAACTTTCCAACAAGATAATGCCCGACCACATGTTGCAAGAGTCACAATAGACTTCTTTCAACATAATGATGTCACATTGTTACCATGGCCACCAAGATCTCCCGACTTATCCCCAATTGAGCACGTGTGGGATATGATGGGTAGGAGATTGCTCAATTTGCAACGTCCTCATCAGACTCTAGAAGCACTTCGAGAGGAGTTGGTGGTTGCCTGGAATGAGATACCATAGGAGGACACTGACCACCTAATCAGAAGCATGCCTAGGCGCGTTGGAGAATGCGTAGCACATCAGGGTGCATCCACACATTATTAAAGGTCAAAGGGCTTTAAAGCAGTGCAATCATTTTGAAATTTTTATTATTTACTTATTATTCTTCATTAAGTACTTATACAAAATTTTATTAAAATAAAACCATTTAAACTGGGTGTTCGGATTTATATGTCACTTAGTATAATTTATCTTATTATTTCATTTATTTACCTTTTCCTGTACTAGGCCCCTGCTTTGTTTTATTTTTCTCCCGGCGGAAAGAAGCTAAGAGGTTTATTATTTTCTTTTTGCACTGTTCAGCAGTGGTTTCCATTTCCCGCCAAGCGTCCTCTTTCAAATTTTTTTTGAAGTGATTTTCATTTTTAGGATCCCATAATAACGTTTTGATTTTATAAACGTTTATCAGAAATAATATTTTTTCTTCCGACCATGAATCCATAACTTTATTGAATAAAAATAAAGTTCGCTCGCGAGCTAAAGAAAAACAACGAACCTTGACAAGCAGTTCGTTTGGAACCATAAACCCCGTCCCAATTATCCGAACAAGTTGCTCACAAGCGGCTCGCGAACCGCTCGGCTCGCATATGTATACGCACCTTTACCACAATTGCCCGATTATCAGCATACCCTACCAAGTTGATTCTGAGCAGCACATTAAGCCTCAAAACCCATCCTAGAACACTTTCCATAGTGCAGTGGCACCAAAACGGATCTCTGTGGAACTCCCATTGTAATATTCATAACCTCTCTGATCTCCCCGATCATCAACGTTTTTTCTTCCCATCCTCAGTCGTTCATCACCACACAAATTCCGGCATTCCTTGAACCAATATTTTATATGAAATCCAATTTGCTAGATCACCATAATGCATAACTCATAAACTATTTTGTATTCAATTCGAGAGAAGTCCTGTACGTTAGTATTGTCACTTAAATAAATGAATAATAGAGTTTATTTTTTATATCGTCTGGTGATTAGTCTGAAAATCTACTTATTTTTTCTTTGTAGCTGCATTATTCTTCCTGACCTATGAGAGCATCAAATACTTCTCAGAACCTTTGGTTCCAAAGTCTTGGATGCCCGGAGTTTACATGGTGGGAGCGTCAATTTCTGAAGTGGTAAGGGAGATCATTTTTAATAATGATACCACATTGTAACATCAATTTCACATGTTTGTTTCCAAGGCAGCGTGCCTCGTCAGGGTCCCAATAGAAGTTGTGAAGCAAAGACGCCAGACTCAGATGGACAATAAGTCATCCTTGAAAATTGCTTTTGATGCTTATAAAGAAGACGGGTTCCGAAAGGTAACAATTATTGTAACTATACTAAGACATTTTCCATAATCCCGCGAAAGTAGTTTTGCATGCAACATTTTTTTATATAGGTCAATTTACCTTCCTATATTCCATGATGGCCCCATCCGCAACCAATAGTGAGCGTTTTTGCTACTTTCTCGCTCAAGAGCGCCAAAGCTATCGTTTGCGATCACATCAACTTTGCATTGCGGACGCCTACCGTGTTTTTTTCTTTATTTTTTAGGGCTTATACAGAGGCTTTGGGTCAACAATTGTTCGTGAAGTGCCATTTTCTAGTATTCAGTTCCCGATTTTAGAATATTTGAAATCAACATACAGGACAAAATTCAAAAACAATATTCCGCTAGAATCATGGGAGGTGGCAGTATGTGGATCCATAGCAGGTTGATGATTAGTGCTTTAAAATTTCATTTTACTCTTTTTTTGAAATTGCAGGTGGCATTTCGGCAGCAATCACAACACCTCTGGATGTAGCCAAAACTAGGATAATGCTAGCAGACAAAGCTGTAGTAGATGTGGATAACCTGACTGTATTAAGAATGCTCAAATATATTTATACAAGAGAGGGGATAGTAGGGTGAGTTTATACCCGCTACAGGTTGATGCCAATATTACACAGATGCGGCATCAAGGATAAAAGCAAGACTGACTTTTGCTATAAAAAACGTTCAGATAGTACATTTTCTCGATTATCTTGTTTTTTCTATTTTGCAGCCACATTGATAAAACTTCACCTTTTATGTCGATTAGTCTTTTTTATTAACAAAATTGGTTTACATTTTTTCCAGGCTGTTCTCTGGGGTTGTTCCAAGAACAATATGGATAACATTAGGAGGATACATCTTCTTTGGTAGCTACGATTTTTCAAAGAACATGTGTGAAACAATCTGCAGAAGGCAACATCTCCTGTAATTGTTGTAGTATTGTTTTTGTTAATTGTTATATGAAAGGTATTTAATATTAAAATATACAAATACAAGGCAACTTTTTTATTATATATTCAAAGGAATATAAATAATATATAATATTACTGAGGAAGATAACTTGCTACACAAATATTCAGGAGTATACAAGCACACATTAACCTCAAGTGTTTTTTTTTCAACAATTAAAAGTCTGCTATGTTAAATAACATAATTTACTTCGATCGACTTCAACTATATACAAAAAATTACGAAACCTAATGGATAAAAATGACGTAAGTAACCAGTATCTTGAGAGATCGTTTTTAAGAATACACCATATTCCCCAAAAATGATAATATTTGGGGAATGTTTGCGAATTTTGATGTGAAAAATATTTTTATCCACTAGATACACAGGCTTAAAGTTATGCTTACTAATACTTGTACAAGTTCATGCTATTTTAAATTATTCAATTTTTGCGATTCTATCAAAGAAACGCAATTTGGTAAAAACATTGATTATAGATTTTGAAAGATATACCACTTTAATCCAAAAATAATAAAATTTCAATTGAAAGCCTAAGTTTCTCTTCAATAAAACTTTTTAAGCTGGTAGCTGCAGTTTCTTTCCCTTCAATACTGAAAAGAAAACAGTGTATGAGATAAATATGTAAATAAATCAATTTAATATGTTTTTCAATTCCTCTATGTCATATAATATAGAATAAAAGGAAATAATTTGATTTGAGTTTTTTAGGGCCTTTAGTTTGTGTAGGTATTGAAGCTTGTGGAAATTACTATGAACGAAGTCAATAAATAAAGCTGTATTGCAAAACTTTTATAGTACCCTTTGTACATTGTTAAAACAGGTATAGGTTTTTCAGATCATACAAAATGACTCTTTTCTTAGTATTGTATCTTTGACAGATCATACATTTTTAACTAAATTATACTTTGACCTGTGAAATACTATGTAGAATCGCTAATTAAGAAGCAGAGTAATAAAAACAGATTTGTTGGGTGCATATTTTTAAGTAAATGACTCCGGCTCATCCATGACATATGTAAAATGCAATTAATATTTGTTAAGTAGCTTATGAATAATTGGTTTTAAAAATGACAAGTTTACCTTCTGGTAGCATTATTCTTATTACTTCATTTGATCACTCAAAGACAGTCTGTTGAAATTGAATGCAATATCTGTTTCCACAAAATAGAACTGATTTTGGTGTTTGATGTGTTTTTAAATATTTGATGAGGATTTTGACATATGACAGTTATTTTCAAAAATTTCCAAAAACAATACTTGAAGCCATCTTGGTTCATTCAACATTTTGATGACAAACTGTGGCAGTATTGCCTATCCAATTATAGTGCCGTTTCTTTCATTGAAAAATACAAAATTTTAAACTAGGCATACGTAGGTGGATAAGACATTGAAGTCTTCAAGTCTCAAGAAAATATTTCTATGTTCTGGATTCTGCCAGTTTTTTTTTGCTATGTAAGCAATTTGAATAAGAAATTTTAGAATGCATTATGCAGGGTGTTTCCTAACTGTGGTATGGAACTTCAGAGGGTGATTGGTTGCTTCAAGTTTGAAAAAACAGTATTCATGAAATAAATATCCTTAAAAAAATTTGGTGACTTTCTTTGTAGTTTTAAATTTTTTTAGATTAAGCAACTAAAAATACAAGTTGTCTCTTGTGTTTTCTTAATAGAAGAAAAAAAAGTAAAACTCTAAAAACTATCCATGGAAAATGTATTGGACAAACTTTTATTGAAAATGGTTAAGGATATTTGTTTATATTTTTTAAATACTGCTATGAAGAAAACAGACATTGAAAGGAACTTTATCCGTGATATGACCTCACTCTGAAGTTTCATACCATTGTTAGGAAACACCCTGCATAATAAATTTTCATCAGCAAGTACCCAGGTGCAATTTATATGTATCTTACCTTTGGTGATATACAAGTAGAAGAAATCACAGTACAAGACCGTTTGTACTACCCCAGCTACAATGGCAATTGGATCATAGTGTCCCTCAGTAGCATATCGATAGATCCAGTTGAAAATGTAAAGAGCTCTGTATGAACCCAATGCAAACAAATAATGAGACGTAATACTCTCTGCCTCTCCAGTTTTGCTGACCATGAACAGTTGAGGGAGAATTGCTACTGATTCAAGGTAGATACTGAATGTCCACAAAACCTAAAGTAAAATAATCATTAGGCTTTTATATTAATACTGAAAGATGGTATATTTTTACCTCCAAAAAGTTGAAGTAGTGGTTGATGAGTAGCGCTAAAGCTAAAGATGGCAATATCAAAAATTCAATGCGGAAAGTGTCATGGTTGTGATCATATGTAGCCTTGAATTTCACATAGATCAAGTAGATTGTAGCATAAGATGTTGCCAAAAAGACAAATTTCATGAAGGTGTTGTACATCGAGACATAACTGGTGACAAGATCCAGATATCTTGTTGTGTAGACTAATGCAAACAGTACTTGACTTTTTCCAGATATGCCTGAAATAATTTGTACTTTAGAATAATTATATCATAATAAAATTAATAATAAAATGTAACGTAATTATAAAAGTAAAAAATGATGAATGGCAATAGTTTGGCCAAAGCTGTTTCTCAGATAAACCCTCAGTCAGTCTGGCACTATTACAGTTGTGAGAACCAACCAAGAAAATTCAAAACGAAGTTGTATGTTGCCAAAAATTTATAAAATTGATGACCGGATGAGTCTGGTATATGAATAGTTAGAAATGATTTCTCTATAAATATTCAGGAACAAACTAATTTAGTCTTTAATTATCTTGATTGATCCTCAAACCCCAGATTATGAAGGGTCAACTTTTAAAACAGGATATAATTGCTTATTTGTATTCAATGAATGATTTTGGATATATTCATATACTTCGAAATGAGTGACAATTTCAACCATAATGTATAAAACATATGACATACATTCCACAAAGCACTGTCTTGTAATTCTATGTGTAACATATGCAATATGTTATGCATGTTCTAGATTAAAAATAATATCTATATTGTCATGATATAATCACAATACAGTAAGCACACATGCAAAGGTTATGTTGCAAGCAAAACAGAGGTACTAATTTCATTTTGTAAATGGAATTTGACTTTCTACATGTTACGGATATAATGAACAATGTCATCCCATACATACCAAAGTGGTAATTAAAGTTAAAATGCTGGGAATTAATGGATACAACCCAAAATATTGGTATACAAAACCGGGTGCTGTATACGTGAATTCAGGCAATCAAAACTTACCCGCGCACGATCTAGACTTCCATATTTTATGCAAAAGGATGATGATTGCTATTAAATGTGCTAAATCACCTGTAAGCCTGAAAATATTCATTATTTTTCAGGAATTTTAACTTACGAACTACGAAAGCAAGAACTCAAGATATTTTTTAAGTGACGTGGCTGCATTCAAACGCTACTCACCAGATGACGTTGCCATCAATTTGCCGCAGAAACTTGATGTTCCATGTCACTTCATAAATGAAAGATTTTGTTTTTTTAGGTTGAGAGAAGTCCTGTACAAGGAGCGTCAGTAGATTCACTCGATCGATTTTGGTACTTTGCAGGCGTATACACATTTCCGAAAAGGACATGTTTGCTTTGTCTCCCGTACCCATGACCAACCGCAGACAAAGCTGTTTCGTACTCATTGGCAACTCATCAGTGCGGTATAGGTCTAGCCATAGAGACACAATAAATCTTTTCTTAAATCATTGCTTTTATGTTCCTGCCATGTATTTAGAAAAAATAATACGCAAAAATATCGTGACAATTAATTTATTGTTTGTTTAGCTCCAGTTATAACTTAATTCTGCCACAACCTAAGTACTTTATCCTTTCCACCTGAGGCAACTTTCAATCCATCAGTTGACCAATCAACTGCGTACACTTCGTCCGCATGACCCGGCAAATCAATTTCTATTTTTTTCGTCCTCAGATTCCATAACTTCAATGTTGAATCTGCACTGCCACTAACCATTAGTCTAGAATCTGCTGAGAAGGCTATCACATACACAGCTTGTACATGGCCTCTTAAGGTTGTTATGAATTTGCCTGTTCTGGCCTCCCAGAGTTTAATGGACTTGTCAAACGAAGCTGATGCTACTATTCGACAGTCAGGCGAGAATTTTACGTCATTGACTAGCTGCTGGTGTCCTGAAAAAAAACGTCTCAAATTACAGTAGTGCACCAAGTTTGGCTCGCTCATGGCCACAAGGATGACACTTCATTTATTTTTTCTTTGCATTTTCATATTACTATACAGTTACTACGATAGTCTGAAAGGTCCCGTAACATACTGAGATCGCGCGAAGATATCATTCCAAATTTTAAGATAACACCAAGCAAAACCAGCATAGCCCAAGACCGCCTGGGGGTAGGCATTACCGCTCGCAAAAAAGGACGTTAATCCCTCCAAAACGACAAGCGAACACGAGGTGATCTGTATTTTTTTATGTACCAGGTACGTCAACCTCGTCCATCGTCCCGATGTCGCCAAACTCACTCTAAAAAAAAAAACGCAAACCTAACCAGAACTGTTGTCCCACCCCAGTTAATTGTCAACTAAAATGCTGCAAATGAATTGTTTATGGATCTGAAACGCGAGAAATAGTACTTCGATATTTAAAAGGAGACGTTAATATAAGACACAACAGTTTGGCCTTGAAATAGCGAAACATCTTCGCGGTTAAGATCCAACAACAAACCATGAGAAAAAACCTGGATAAAAAACTCATGATTAGGTTGGTTGGAGAATATCAATTAGATCTTTCCTTAAAGTATATACAAGCAAATTGGGTCACAGTCTAGAGAATACCCAGAAAGACAATTATTGTTTAATTTTATATATGCCAATACCTTTACTTTCCTTTTGTAATTGTTACTCTCTTTGTAGTGTAGTATTAAGTCTTCTTCCCATTGTACCCTATGTGTCCCATACAAGTACATTTAGTGTACTATGTATAGGAATATAAAAATGAAAATGAAAACAAATGAAGTGTCAAAAGGAATACAGATAAATAAAATATATTTTGTCACTGTAATGAAGAATGTCACTGTTGTGACCCAAATGTTTACAATAAAGAAGATTTTTTGAACACATGTGGTTTTGGTTGGCCAGAGAAATATTTGGGATTAACAACATGGAAACCACATGATGAGTTGCAGGTGTTACATTAAGATTTATTTATTTAGAAGCAGGATACCCTAAATTACACAATTATAGCAATATGTATAACATCTATTACCAGAAATTGTCCACCATGAAAATGAAAACAGCAAGCTATCTGTTGGAATTGTATCCCAGTGTGTCTAATTTGATGAGCATCTTTTTCTGAAGGGCTATTCCTTATATGATCAGTTTTGGTGATTGTTTAATTTAATCGAAATGCTTATCATGTGATAAATTTAAGAATTTTTCCATCATAATATATTATCATCAAAAGGTCAAAATCATTATCATAAAAAGAGATAATATGCCAAATTACATAAAAGAGAGCATATGTTTTTAAATACACAAAACAAGGTGTTGAGAAGATATATCCAGAAATGTATACAAACTCAGATAATCTTATATCAATCTTAAGAATGTTTTAGATTTTAGTTTATAGTACTTATTAACATCTGTCTTTACAAATCTTACCTGTTAGCCTTGCTAATGGTTTCTTATCTTTCTCAGGGTCCCACAAAAATAAGGTAAAATCATCTGACCCAGAAACTAATCTTTCACCATGTGATTCAGTGATTTTGTAGTATCTTTCTAAAGCAAATTCTTGTGATTTTTTTTTATCCGTTATTGTTGTGTCTTTGTGAGAATCTTTAATGGGATCAAATGCACCTTAAAGAAAAACATAATTATGTGCATATATTCAAAATCCGCCAAGATTAAAAAAATATTTTTTTCTAAAATGAGCAAAAATACCTATCCTTAAAATATAATCTGTACTCAAAGCCAGTGTATTAACCCAATGTGCATGTCCTTCTAAGGTTCTACAAAGCACACCATCATTTGCTCTCCAGACTTTAACTGTTCTATCTTGAGATGCAGTATATATTAAACCTGTACCACCCCATTTTACAGCTGTCACAGACTTTGTGTGGCCTGAAAGAACTTTTTGAGTTGTACATAGAACTGTGTCCCAAATTCTCACATCTCCATCTTTTGAAGAACTTGCTAATAGTCTAGAAATATATGTTTTGATCAGGTGATTTAATTATTAAAAATGTATGTTTTCTAATTTTACCTAGAAATTGTTTAAACAACTAATGAGAAGTTTAGACATTAATAATGCAGTTTGTTGCATCTTAAAATTATTTTTAAATTCCTACCTGCATTCAGGATTTTTATGATAAGGTTCCCAGCTTAAGCAAGTAACCCACTGTTTATGTCCTATCATAGTTTTCCCTTTTTGGTTACCAGTGAATGGGTCCCATATTATGATTTTCCCATCTTTACATGCTGAAGCAAGTTTTGAACTATCTGGGGACCATGCTATGTATAAAACCCAATTACTATGCCCTTTACAAGTGAAACTTGGTGTTTGGGTATAGACATCCCAAAATCTAACTGTAGTGTCTCCCGATCCTGATGCTAAGTACTTTCCATCAGGACTGAAACTCACTGAAATAACTGCTTCAGCATGACCAGGTATCGAACTTGTACATCTAGTTACAGGCCGAACTTTAAAAACTGCTTGCTGCTTGTAAATGATATCTACAACATCCTCAGAATTTAAGTTCAATGCTGATACAGTTTTCTCTAATGTTGAAGTTACTTCATTGTCATTTATAAAAAACAGATACGGAACGGGCTCCTCTTGTTGCAAAAGGGCATTACACATCATCGTAAGCTGTTGAACAGTACAGTCTGTTGGTAGATCCACAATATCGCCACATAGTTTGCCACCGCTTTCTGATCTTAAGCAGCATAACAGCCGTTTTGGCTCACTGTTCTCTGTTTCTTGCTCCATTCTTGTGTAATTAAAAAATTGCTGAAGATTAAGAAATAGGAAACTTGTAAACACGTGTGTTTGATATTTGAATTGAAAATTGACACATGACTGACAGAATTACAGCTCTGATTACAGCTTTTTGACACCTCAAATTGACAGCCTAATAAATATGCAGAAATCTGGATATATTCTTAATTTAGGCAGCTCTGCATAGAGATCACTATTAAATTAGCAAACCTTCATTATCTCACCTATATTAAAATTTTCATTCTTCACATATCATGGCGATGCTGAGTGCATAGTATCCAATAAAAAATAATTCGTTTTCCTGCTTCCGGGTAACTTTAATAATTGGAAATTTGACTCATAGATGTCTCTGCAACTTGTTTGTTTGTCTATTTGACACCCATCTGGCACGTGTCAGTGACACGTGATCAAAACTTTTTCGCCGAGCTGTCATGAAATATTTTGAACATTGCATCCCAGTATTAATTTAGGATTAATTAATAAATATACATCAGTTTGTTCGTGTAAACCTCAACATATGTTTATTTAGGTCACAATTGATGTTATTTTAAGTTTTGTGTGGCTCATTAATCGAAAGGAGCTTGATTTGCGGACGTGTGTAGGTTGTATTCGTCTGTCATCTTCCCGGAGCCACGTTGGAAGTTCGGAATGCACTGATAAATGCATTGAACCTAAGGTAAGATTTATTTTTTCATTATAAATCCACCCTAAATATAAATTTTCAGCTACAAAAGTCAACAAAAAATGAAGCTAAAGGACATAGAACGAACTGCAAATGTAGCATGGTCCCCCAAGAGCCATTACCCCATTCATTTGGCAGCAGGCACTGCTGCCCAGCAGTTGGATGCATCATTCAGCACCAATGCTGCTTTAGAAATTTACTCCCTCAATGTAACAGACCCTGGGCCTGATATGCAATTGGTATCATCAGTGCCAAGTGATCATCGGTTTCATAAGATTATTTGGGGCTCTGTAGGCAGTGAACCTGGCAGTGGGACCATCATTGGAGGGTGTGATGGGGGCTTAATCCAGATTTATAATGCGTCAAAGTTATTAAAAAATGAAGATGCTTTGATGGGCAGGCAAGAGAAACATTCTGGTCCAGTGCATTCATTGGATTTTAATGGGTTCCAACAGAATTTGTTTGCATCTGGTGCTGCAAATTCTGAAATTTTCATCTGGGATCTGAACAACATTGCTACCCCTATGTCACCAGGTATGACAATTATAAAGTTCATAAGTTTGAACATGTATATACTGTGATGAAAGAAATGAAGTATTTTAAACATATTTTCATCTGATTGGAAATGTTTTTTAGGGGCAAAATGTCAGCCGCTAGAGGATGTGTTATCAGTACTCTGGAATAAACAAGTTCAACATATTTTAGCCACTACTTTTTCATCAAAATGTGTAATTTGGGATCTTAGGAAGAATGAACCTATCATAAAACTAACTGATACAGTATCAAGAGTACATTGGAAAGTAGTTGCTTGGCATCCTGAGGTTGCCACACAACTTTGCCTTGCATCAGGTAACATTTAATATAATACCTCTTAGATAAAAATTGTATTTTTATCAAACATTTTAATATTTTCAGGTAGGGTTCAAAGGGTACTGAACTGTGTTATGTATCTCCCACCTAGGGCTCTAAAGGCTAATCAGGTTTTATGAATAACTTCTGTTTTTATAAAGTTATAAATTTCATTTTTCATTGCAGATTATTTTAAATTCATGAAAACAGAGGATATCTGTAAAGCCAGTAACTTGTCAGATTGCTAGTTAACTTTTAGGCCCATACAAATGTAATTACAGTTTAGTTTGGTATCAAAATAATTTGAAATTATTTAGCCTCATTACCTTGCTTAAGTTTCTAATTGAGTGTAGTTTCTAAGCTATCATATTTTTTCATTTCAAATGTATATTACTTTAATTCTGTATTTTTAAACAAATACAATTTAAAAAAAAATAATTTTCCATATTTAATTTTAGATGAGGACCATTCTCCAATAATTCAACTTTGGGACCTACGTTTTGCTACATCTCCATTAAAAACACTAGAAAATCATCAGAGGGGTATTTTGTCAATGGCTTGGTGTAATGATGATTCAGACTTACTAGCTTCATGCGGAAAAGATAACAGAATACTGATATGGAACCCAAATGGTTCTCAGCCTAATGGTGAGGTACTTGCTGAACTTGCAAAGACTAATCAGTGGAATTTTGATGTGCTATGGTGTCCAAGAAATCCTGCATTGGTTAGTATTCACAAAGTTGTTGTTGTTGTTTAAGATTTATTTAGCATGATTGCTACAATTACATTCTTCTGAAAAACTAAACAATTACATAACATACAGACATTCATAAAAAAAACAAAATTTGCATCTCTAAGAATTTTCATTGTCCATGAAACATTCCTTTAATTTCTTTTTAAATATCTTTAAATTACAAGTAGACTTTATATCATTATTTAGTTTATTAAATTCAAGTAATCCTTTCTGAAATATTGATTTGCTAGTTATATTACTATTGCAATTTTGTAAATGAAAATTCATATTTCCTGTTGTATAATAATTGTGGTAATGATTATTCAATTCTATGTAGTGTTCTAAATGTTCTGGCAAAAGATGATTTTTTATTTTAAATATGAAAATAAGAACCAAATATGATATGAAATTTTTTATATTCAACCACTGCAATTCTTGTAACATAGATTTTATTTTGGTGTACTTATTTTTATTCAATATTATTCTCATAGCTTTATTTTGCAAGACTGGTAATTTTGAGAATACAGCTTCATTGCCAGTGAATAAGATAGTTGAACAATATAGTAAATGCTGTAGAATAATTGTATTATAAACTATTTTCTTCGATTAGGTACCAAGACTATGAGAAGCTTTATAAAAGTAATTTGTTTTTTTGCTAGTTTTTGAAATAATGTATTCATAGTGATCCTCAAACTTTAGTTTACTATCAATATATATATGCCTAAATATTTAATTGATTCAACATTTGCAATTATTTCTCCATTTATCCTAACAGTGATAGTATTTTCATGTAGGTATTTCCCTATTAGCATGCATTTTGTTTTAGAAGTATTCAATTTTAGTTTATTTACATTCAACCAATTTAAGATTTTTGCATTTTTAATGCAGGGTCTATATTTTCATCTGATATGTATATTAATGTATCATCTGCAAATATCTGAAGTTTAGAATAATCTAAAATATTACAAATGTCATTAATGTATAAAATAAATAGTAGTGGACCTAGTTTACTACCTTGTGGTAACCAACAGAAATATTTTTTGATCTTGATAATGTATATCCAATTTTGGATTTTTGACTTGATGATATTTCATATATAAAATTATCAAATATAGGTGAGCAAATTTTTTTAGTATGAGTAATTTTACTTTATTTTAGATTGCCTGTCCCAACTTTGATGGCCATGTTTCCATATACTCATTAATGGGAGGAAAGACTCAGCAAATTCAAACCACAAATAAAATAGCTGATAGTTTTCCAGGAATGGATGGATATATGCAAGCACCTGTTCCTCAACAGCAGGTGGTTACTGTCAGTGTAGATCTTGCAAAGCCTCCAAAATGGCTGAAAAGGCCTGTTGGAGCAAGTTTTGGGGTAGGCATTATGTTTTTTAATAAACCTGTTTTTTTGTTGTAGAATGACAAAAATGATCTGATACTAGATTCTTATAAGAATTGTTACATTATGCATTATGGATTTAGCCCGTTCACCTGTGTTTGTTCTGCATTCCCTAAATTATACAAGTGAATTGACATGTTGAGGCATACCCAGTCTATTGTTTGAGTTGATAACATTCCCAATAAGCCAAGAATAAGTTTTTGCTATGGGAAATCATTTAAATATGCTGACATCATCAGTATCTTTGACTTGTTTTATGAGTGCCAAATTCTCATTCCCCTCAATTGTCAGTTTAACTTTGATATGATGATCATTGTCAACACCAGGGACAAACCAGTGCGGCCAAGAGGGCAATTTCATTCCATATTTTTTTCCTTTTTAGCTTTATAATTATATATTGTATTAATTTATTTTGTGTATCAGACCATTGTAAGAGAACAGTTGTAGTATGGTTTTAGAGTTGTTGACTTATTTTTTTGATAACTGTGTCCTTGATTTTTTATTTTAGTTTGGTGGAAAACTGATATGTTTTGAAAATGACAAGGCAGCAGTAGCTCATACCTTGCAAAATGTTCAACCCGGACAACAACCTCCACATATCCCTAGGACAGTCCAAATTAGCCAGGTGATCACTGAGGCTACTTTGGTGAAGCATTCTCAAGAATTAGAAAAGGCTTTAGAGTACGGTAATTTTGCTGGTAAGATTATCTCAGTACATAATTTATTGAATACCAACTGTCAATAATATCAGTTTTTTAATTCGAACTTATTTTTATTTGTAGAATACTGCATTAATAAGATGGAGGAAACCAAAGATCAACACCAAAAAACAATATGGCAGTACTTGAGAGCTAGCTTTGAAGCAAATCCACGAGTAGAGTTGCTGTCGCTTTTAGGCTACAATATAGAATCTATCAATAATAAACTTAATCAACATGTAGGCACGGAATTGAACCATAATGTAAATGGATTGTCAGACGACTTTGCCAATATGAATAGGGTAATAATATATGTGGAAATATTAACTGAGAGAATCAAAATAGTTCAAACAATTAATTTAATTCTATTATCATTATTAAATTGAATTATTTTGTTTTTGTAGCTAGACGATTTTGCCCAGCTGGACAATCAGATTCATGAAAAGAAGGGACCTTCAGAACCATTGAAGATTAAGACTACAGACGGTAAGTTATTTTCTAATCTGCCTTTCAATGTATTCAAGGAAATATTTTTTAGATACTGAAGGCTTGGTTACTCAAGCACTTTTATTGAATAACATTGAAGCAGCTGTTGCACTTTGTCTGAAAGCCAAGAAGTATGCTGATGCTCTTATAATAGCGACAACAGGTGGGCAAACATTTTTTCCATATGTAAAATATAGACGAATTTTATGCAAAACATATTGAACATTGGTCTTTCTTTACTTAGGTGGTCCAGATTTGTTAGCAAGGACTCAACATAAGTATTTGGAGCAGTGTGAGGGATATATTTCTTCACTAATATCAGCTGTTGTTTCTGAAGATTGGACGTCTATTATTAATAATTGTGAAGTTAGCAGTTGGAAAGAAGCCTTAGCTGCTACTTTGACTCACGCTTCTGATGAGGATCTTCCAGGTCTTTGTGGTGAGGCAAAATGTCTTCATATACTGCTAGTGTTAGTAAAGAAATAGCTTAAAAGATATATTCAGTAATACAGTTTTCTTTCGTCCGACCACAGGCGCCCAACCATGGACAGCTGTTCGTGCTTTTTGGCAACTCCTCAGCATGATATTGATAGAAATTTATCCCCATTACTGTGCTGTCTTATTTCAATAGACCTGATGCTCTGAATAGAGTTGCACAGCTTTTGTTCGTTGTGCACCGTGACCAAGCCTGCGCCATGCTGAAAAGTTGTCAAATAGCACCTAACGAGTAGACCGCACCAGAATCGACGCCATCTAGCGGCCAATGCGAACTGGCCTACAGTTCCAATCGACATCTCACCTTTATATCAAATCGGTCTTTTTCCCATCCACTTTTGACAGTTTGATCAAACCGCTAACAGACTATAATTTTAAGTGTTTCAAAAAATATAAAACTTCCTAATTAAGATTATTAATACTATAAACCTATACAGGGTGTTCCTTAATGATATGCGAATATTTAAGGGTGTGAATCTACATGAAAAATTAATGTTTGCTTTATAAACTATGGTCCAAAAATGTTTCCGTACAAAAACTCGGGGTGTTGAAGTTTTAGGAAAAAAATGGAAATTAATTAATATTTTCAGAACCGCGTCAGGTATTTCACTGATGTTTAGTATGTAGTGAAAGTGAATGAAGTTGCATATTTTTCAATGCAAAAATAATTTTTAGCTTCAACAGTGGCGTGCGTACGGGTATTGACCGAAATTTTTTAAGAAAAAAATGGTACAAAAATGGTTTCTGCCAAATAAAAATATTATTTTTGAATTCCCCGTTCAATTTAAAACAAATGATCTCTATTGAATTGTTTTCCTTCGATGCGCCGTGTTTGAGTAAAAAAATAAAAACCGAGAAAATTAATGTAATAATTGAAGAATGCAATTTAGCAATAAATATCTAGTTGCTCTGGAATATGTCACTGGCTTTTGACAAGTCTCTGTTATTCAAATCTGTTCGCTGTGACATATTTTTCATTATTTAGTTTTCACAATCTTGTTAATAATGGTGAATTATTCAAATGCAGAAATGGCGGAAATGCAATACGTATATGGCCTTGCCGACGGTAATGGTGAGCAAGCCACACGGATTTATCACCAGAGATATCCCGATCGTGCTTTGCCAGATAGTCTAACCTTTTCTAATATTCATCGTCGTCTTGTTGAAATGGGTTCTGTCCGGAAAGGAACATCTGAAGGTAGACTTCTAAGTGTGAGAACACCTGAAATTGAGGAAGCAGTGCTGCTCGAAGTCGAAGAACATCCTGAAACGAGTACGAGGAAGATCGCTAGACACTTAAATATTTGCCATCAAATTGTTTGGAGAATTTTAGCGGATTTTTTGTTATATCCTTACCATATTTTAAGAGCATAGGCATTACTCCCCATTGATTTTCCAAGGCGTGTGAATTAATGATTCTGTTCACGGACGAAGCTAATTTTTCTCGAAATGCCATTCAGAATTTCCACAATAATCATTTGTGGGCAGAAGAAAATCCCTATGCCATAATCGAAACCCATTTCCAACACCAATTTTCGGTTAACGTATGGGCAGGAATTATTGGCAACCACTTTATTGGCCCATTCTTCTTGCCGGGAAGACTTGACGGATAGACTTACCTCAATTTTCTTCAACAACAGTTGTCTTTGCTGGTTGATGATGTTCCGTTAGTAATAAGAAACAATGGCCACCAAGGTCTCCAGACCTCAACAGTTTAGATTTCTTTTTGTGGGGCTATCTTAAGACACACAAGTCCCATTAACACTGTAGTGGAATTAAGAGAAAGCATAGTTGCAGCTTGTGATGAGAATAAAAAACACTCCAGGGATATTTCAACGAGTGCGCAATTCCATAAGGAGGGCGGAAGCATGCATACTAAGTGAAGGGGGCCATTTTCAACAATTTTTGTAATCATTTCGTTGGTTTTAATGTAATGTTTATGTTGTTAGTTGTTGTTGTTCATTACCCCTAATGTGTTTAATTTTTGCAATTAAATTAATAATAATTTTGCAAGTTAGACAATAGAACGATTTTTGTTTTTTTACTCAAAAATGGCGCATCGAAGGAAAACAATTCAAGAGAGATCATTTGTTTTAAATTGAACGGGGAATTCATAAATAATTTTTATTTGGCGAGAAACCATTTTCGTACCATTTTTTTCTTAAAAAATCTCGGTCAATACCCGTACGCACGCCACTGTTGAAGCTAAAAATTATTTTTGCGTTGAAAAATATGCAACTTTATTAACTTTCACTACATACTAGATATCAGTGAAATATCTGAAGTGGTTCTAAAAATATTAATTAATTTCCATATTTTTTCCTAAAATTTCAACACCCCAAGTTTTTGTAAGGAATCATTTTTGGACCATAGTTTATAAAGCAAACTAACATTAATTTTTCATGTAGAATCACACCCTTAAATATTCGCATATCATTAAGGAACACCCTGTATATAAAGTACGTCTCATAATATCTAACATACACTATAATGTTGCTGAACTTATCTTGTCTTATAGAACAATTGGGAGATAGATTAACTGAAGAAAGTAAAAGGAATCCAAAATTGATGCAAGATGCTCAGCTATGTTACCTTTGTGCTGGTAGTTTTGATAAACTGGTAAACAGTTGGAGTCAAAACAGAGTAACGGATACAAATAAGATGCAGCAGTTAATAGAACTCATGATGTTACTTCAAAAGGCTGTCGAAAGGCAGGGTAGAAGAGTACAGGTAAGGGTTTGGAACTGAATAATTTGAAAAATATACATTTGTAATTATTTCTTTGCATTGTACAGGTATCTGGAGCCCTAGCCGATCTTTTGACTCGCTACGCTTTCCTTTTGGTCTCCCAAGGAGAACTAACAACAGCATCAGCATATTTAGGTACTTCTCATGACCAGAAAATATCCACACTTAGAGAACGGATTCAAGTGGCTTTAGGTCAGAAACAATCCTTTGGAAATCAACATGATTATCAAAACCAAGGTAGAAGGAGCAGTCATAAGCAGAGCTTCTCACAGTCGTATCCTGGGGGACCTGTTTCAGGCAATACAAACCCATTCAAGTAAGTTGAATCAATTATAATAATCGTCTTCATTTGGGAAAAGTTTAGCAACCGCTATTCTTACACTTAACCCCTTTCCCTTTCCCGAAATTCATAAGTCATTTTGAGGGTGACGGTATGAAATTGTAGTTGTATTGGAAGAAAAATAAATAAAATCAGGCTCAGCACTTAATTTGCAGACCTCGTATCTATAACAATGATGACCAGGGATTTACATATAGGGAATTAACAAAGGTGTTCGTCCGGATCATGTGAATATCTCAGCCCGGTTGTCACGTTCTCGGTGGCGCAATAAACATTTTTATTGAGTAATCTTGATTTTATTTATATATTTTCTAAACAGACTCATCAAATACACATCAAAGGGAAGTCATTGCCCATCCCCGTTACAGCTCTGACGTATTCGTCGAAAAAAATGACGACTATGTAAATGCTAAATTCGTTTATCCAAATAAAAAATTACTTGTATCTGAAAAAATGTGGATACCTTATTTTTGAAGCAACCATCGTACAATATGTTGTGAGTATATTACACAGTTGGGGCATCATAGTGTGTAAATTGCAGGATTGGTTGTTGATGAGCATATTTAAATCCTTGATGTTGCCAGTCCGGATGCTGTATAATTTTTTGGTTTGGTGGAAAAAAGGGATTCAAGTTACAGGTTGAATGTCTTCATTAGGCGGTCATACGACCGGCTGTGCAATATTAAATATAACACTTGCAGGGTCTTTTAATATTATAATATCTCTAAAATGCACGTCACCATCAGCGTGTTGCTTATCCTACAAAATTCTTTCTGGATCATATCGAAAACGCCCGAGTGGATAATTAAGTAGTAATTATATACAGGGTGTCCGCAAAGTTGGGGTTTTCCTTTACACGACGTGTAGATCTTGAAAACATAAGCAATTTTTCTTAGTACCATATACACCAATGTCTTAAGGGAACCGAGATAAAGGGCTCTGCAACATCAAAAATATCTGAATACCGTCCTGTAGCCGCGACTCGCGATATCCTCAACTGGTACTAGGACACTAGCTCAATACAATATTCAAATGGTATTTTTTATTTCAGAATTATTATATAGTTGTTAAATGTATAAAAACTATGTTTTGCTAGTTTCAGTAACATAATAATAAATGTGCAGTGTGAAAAGAATTATTACCTATTATCTAGTCGACAGCTATCGAAAGTAGTTTTGTCATGTGTGGTTATGTTTGAGAAAGACTTTGCCATATTTCTTGATCGTTCAGATTCTTCAACAAATTTTCTTTCAGCACCCCCAATCAGTATTCATCTATACCGCCTGTGAACCCTCCTCAACCAGCACAGTTCAACACAGGGTTGCCAAATCAATCAACGACGCAACCCTGGCAGCCACAACCACCTGTACCAGCACCTTCATTCTCCCCTGCTCCCCCACCACTGACGCAACCGCCTAGGCCGGGCAGCGTTGGATCATCACATGGTAAGTGAACATTGCATATAAAAAAGAAAATTTGATACAAGTTACCATTAGAAGGGGGACTCATGAAAAAGCCTTTGATATTCTGACTTTTAAAGATGGCGACCTTTTTCTAAGAACTAGGAACCTTTTTTTTGTGCCTCACTTGAAGAGTTTCCACACTTTTTTTATCGCTTTATGCAGGGTAGTGCTGTACTTTGGCACACGTACGGAATAGATTGTCAATAAATTGATCGTAATAGCATCGAGTAAAATTGCGAGTTGAGAAATATACTAAGTGACATATACATCCGAACACCCAGTTTAAATGGTTTTATTTTATTAAAAGTTGGTGAATGTATTTATCTTACTGTAAATAACAGCCTTATCAGTTGGACATTCCGGTTTTTATACTGCTTTTTTTTAATTCACTAACGCTCTGAAAATGAATATTTCAGCCGCAGTAAAGAATCAACGTTGGCGCACAACCTTGGTAAGAATATTTCTCGCTCCAAATGAAACACAGTGTATAGGGGAGTCATTCTTGACTTGATGGAATGGGAAGAACTTTTAAATTCTATTTATGCAGCCAAATTTAGGTCTATGAAGGGCATTTATACCAAACATGTGCTTCATAGGCTTGATGTGATTTTATTTTATATTGGGTCATGTATAAATATACTAAGTGACATATAAATCCGAACACCCAGTTTAAATGGTTTTATTTTAATAAAATTTTGTATAAGTACTTAATGAAGCATAATAAGTAAATGATAAAAATTTCAAAATGATTGCACTGCTTTAAAGCACTTTGACCTTTAATAATGTGTGGATGCACCCTGATGTGCTACGCATTCTCCAACGCGCCTAGGCATGCTTCTGATCAGGTGGTCAATGTCCTCCTGTGGTATCTCATTCCAGGCAACCACCAACTCCTCTCGAAGTGCTTCTAGAGTCTGAGGAGGACGTTGCAAATTGATCAATCTCCTACCCATCATATCCCACACGTGCTCAATTGGGGATAAGTCGGGAGATCTTGGTGGCCATGGTAACAATGTGACATCATTATGTTGAAAGAAGTCTATTGTGACTATTGCAACATGTGGTCGGGCATTATCTTGTTGGAAAGTTGGATCTGCCAGGGTGTCAAGATAGGTTAAAAGATGGGGTTCTAGAACCTCGTGGATATAACGCTGCGCGTTCATGTTACCTCTGATGAAGATCAAAGGTGACCTGGAACCATAAGCTATAGCACCCCAAACCATAACTCCAACAGTGTGATGAAGATGTCTTTCAACAAAAAACTGTGGATTCCTCCTTTCACCACGTCGCCTTCTAACCCTGGCACGACCATCGTGCATGCCTAAACAAAATCGAGACTCGTCACTAAAGACAATACTGTTCCATTCCTGATCCCAAAGTGACCGTTGTCTGCACCACTCAAGGCGATTACGTCGATGTTCTCGAGTTAAAGGGAGGACCCAGTGTGGCCGGTATGAAAACAAGCCAAAACTTCTCATTCGTCGGTAAACACTGCGCATGCCAATAGGTCTTCCGTGTTCTGCAAACCATTCATTTGCAATGGACCTGGTAGTGGAGAAACGGTCCCTTAAGGCCAATAATCTTAGGCGGCGATCTTCACGGTCTGTTGTTCTACGGCGGCGTCCAGTGCCCCTTGCTCTTTGCGTACGGCCTTCTCGAAGCCATGCCTGACAACACCTAACCACAGTGTCTACACTTCTTTGCACTCTAACTGCAATTGCCCGAAAAGAAAGTCCAGCTTCCCGAAGTCCCACTATACGGCCCCTATCAAACTCACTAAGTTGACGAAATCGTACAGGTCTCCGTACTCTAGGCATCGTAACCGATCGTAAAGGATGTCAAGAACCAAAATCCGCCAACGTTGATTCTTTACTGCGGCTGAAATATTCATTTTTAGAGCGTTAGTGAAATAAAAAAAAGCGGTATAAAAACCGGAGTATCCAACTGATAAGGCTGAAAATTTTTTCACTTGTTATTTACAGTGAGATAAATACATTCACCAACTTTTATTAAAATAAAACCATTTAAACTGGGTGTTCGGATTTATATGTCACTTAGTATAGTTTTCAGCGTCTATGACTGGCGATGATTCATCTGTCATATTGTGTTCTCTGTCATAAGGTAACCTCAGTAACCGCTGTGCCGATGTTGTCAAAGCTTGGAATATACTGTAGTGCCACAAGTTAAAAAATGGATGTAAGGGAGCTGAGTTAAGCAAAAAAATGTTTTACATTATCTTAACCGTAGTTAGGTGAAAAACTGATATAAAGAATAGAAAATAACGCGAAAGAAATGAAATGAGACTGCAAAGGATATTATATGAATACCACTGCAGGAGGTGTACTATTAGTAACTTTCCTAAACAAACATATGGATCAAACTAGTAATATTAGCTTTCGTCCGGCCTCCCACAGACAGCCAACCATGGACAGCTGTAACGAGCTATTTGGCAACTATTCAGCAGAGTAGGCCCTGTTCAACTACATATGGTTGTATAATAATTTATCTCGAGATATAGAGAGATATATCAAATTTAAAAACAAGGGTTTTAATTATTTAAGTGAGACATGTTTTTACTCTATAAATTAATATTTAGTTTTTCGGAATCAGTAAGCAAATTGTTTTTTTTTATTTGACAAGTACCACTACTATAACAAAAACATTAGTTAGCTTATTGCCTCTACAGGCTAGTCATAATGAAGTTGTGTTTTTTATCATGTTTATAGTATGGTTCAAATAACACTGTTAACTCACTCTGTATTATTTTCACATTTATTGTGATATTTTAACTGTGCTTCTTTTCTTTTGATGTGCTTTGTGGCCTTTATGTTTGAAATTTGGCAAAATATACTACTACAGTGGAATCCAGTTATAATGAACTTGCTTATAATGGAAACCCGTATATAATGGACACAATTTAAGGTCTGTAAATAATTGCATGTAATAACCTCGTATATTATAGACTCACTTAAAATAGACCCTCGCTTAGAGCGTATTATTTTAATCCATTTTATGACAGCTATTTTGGTAGTTCGCCCAAGCAGATTTAGCTGATACAATCGTTTACGACGGTCAAAAGCGGCTATCGCTGCATCCCCAAGTCGATGATTTGCTGTTTAAATGGTTTCAACAAAAGCGTGCTAATAATTTTCCAGCAAGTGGACCTATGCTGCAAATAAAGGCTGAAAAATTTGGGATATTGATTGGAGATTACTTCAAATGTAGTTGCGGTTGCCTAGACAGGTTTAAGAAAAGACATAATATTGTTTTTGGAAAAATGTGTGGTGATTCAGCTTCAGTTGACAAGAACGTTACCAATGACTGGTTTTATCAAATTTGGCCCGTAATATCCAGTGATTATTCAGATGATAACATATTCAATGCAGATGAAACCGGAATATTTTATAGAATGCTACCAGATAAAACTCATAGATTAAAAGGTGAAACTTGCAATGGAGGGAAACTATCAAAAGAGCGAATAACTGTTATGATTTGTGTTAATGCTTCAGATTCCGAAAACATACAGATTTTAAAATTACGTATAACTTTTAATGTATCTTTATTTATGTAATACACGTTAAACAAACACATTGTAAGCTTTTAATATGTTATTTCTGCTGCTTTTTTCATTAAAAAGTTTTTCTTTTAAGATGGTCATCCGCCTATAATAGACTATTTGTCACAGTCCCGCCGAGTCCATTATAAGCGGATTGCACTGTACTATGTAGTATGGGTTTTGGCATTTGACACCACCTGGGATTGTGGTTTTGGCCGTTGCAGCTGGTTACATATAAGGATGCTGCAGATTGTAACTTTCTGACTTATTTGCGAACATTCCTTTTCGAATCACCGTTTTTTCTCTTTATTCTAGGTGGTATATCATCTCGCAGCAAATACGTACTAGACCCGTCCGTCTCCTCGGGCCCTTCGTACGGCGTATCAGCCGCCCGTGGGTTCCCACCGCCCATCGATGCGCCAATGCCCAACAGTTCGTTGTCTTCTAACACGCCCTATTTCGTGCCTCCCTTAGCTGCCAGTGGTCACGTGCCTGCACCAATGAATCCGACACCGTTGAATCCCGTTGCGCCCGCCCCCAGTCCTGCTGCGGCGTACGGTGCCCCGCTTCCACCGCCTCCGAAACAGACTGAGCTGTACGCGGCGCCTTCAGGGTGGAATGATCCGCCTCCGCTCAGTTCTAGGCCATCGAAAGCAGAGGTAAGTTGATGTTGCCCATTTTAAACTTGAATTTTGATTACCAACTTGCTCTATGCTTTACAACAATGGATGACGAAGGAAATGCCATAGATATGATATATCTTCATGAAAAACTGTTAGCTGGCAACGGAAATTACTTTACACTTGCTGGGATTAAGCATCAGATCATTATTCTGGCAATAATCAAAACTGTTATCCAAATTTCCCTGCAAACGGTCTAATCTATCTTTACCTTGAATTATTGAGTAAATTTTTAGGTCATCCGCAAACATTTGTTATTCTACTGGTATTATAAGGTTGATCAAAAATAGTAGGGGACCTAAGTTAGTACCTTGTGGCACTCCCGTTGTTGGTGTGTATGATTTTTATTTGAAGCTATATATACGAACGGAAAAATATCAACAAGCCCTCGGAAAACCCAAATTTTTACATTTTTTAAGCAGAATGGAGTGATTTATTCGATCAAATGCCTTTGAGAAACCCGTAAATATAACGTCGACTTGTTATTGATCTACAGCAAACAATAAATAAGAAGCAGCATAAGTTAGTTGTTGTAAATCTTTTGTTCCTAAATACATGTTGTTTATCTAATAACATTTTACTTACACTAGGATATATATTCATAAAGCAGCATCTCAAAAAGTTTAGAAAAATCACACACGAGCGATATCGTCCTATAATTCTTTGTACAGAGTCCGTCAGAAAGAACGCACGTTTTTCAAATGAGTAGTACAATCAAAATAAGTATGGGAAAAATTTATTATATCAAAATACTCAGAACTACATGCCATTTTTTTGAGTAAAACAAAATTTACGTTCTCAAAACTATGTCGGCCATATGGCGCTGTTGAGCCGAAATGCAGGAATCAAGCCTCCTCCTTCAAATCGACGAGCAGTTGTTGACAAACTTGGATTTTGTAAGGATGGAACACTAAATCCTTCTTCAAGATGCGACGTATAGAGGACGCGTGGATCCCTAGAGAACTGGCACGCAAACGGACGGAACGATTCGGGTTTTGCAGCGTGTTAACTCTCACTCTGCCTACGTTTTCGGGGCTTCTAATAGTACGGTTTCGCACTGGCGGTTTTTTCTTCATCACATTACCTATTGTGTTGAATGCTTCCACCCATCTCAAAATGGTGTTACGGTCCCACGACGTGGAACACGAAAGTAAACGCGAAACTCATGTTGCGTTCGGAAATTCACCAGTTTGAAGCGACTTGTTCAAAATTTGACATACCTTTCGATTTTTTTTTCCAGCCGAAACCAGAAGCACCGCCTTCCGACCCAATCACCCACCCTCTATATGGCGCCGGCTACCCCACGGATACCTACGGTAACGACATACCCTCACAACCTCCCCCTTCCATGTACAACCCAGCTATGCCCCCGCAACCCTACCAACAACCACCAGGAGCTGCCTTCCCACCCCCGACTGGAAACTTCGCACACCAAAGCAACTTCCAACATCCCGGAAGTTTCCCAGCGCCGGGTAGTACCTTTCCGCCTCCAGTGACGGGTGGATATGACATAGGGGCGATGAGTCGTAACGCTGTACCGCCTCAAGTGGCGCAGGAGGCGATGCCTAGGGCGGAGACTCCTCAACATGTGCAGAAACCGCCTATTCCACAGGAGCACGAAGAGCTGAAGAGGGTGTTTGACAAAGTGAGGGAGAGGTGTAGTGACGCCGCTAACAATCCGGTAAGTATAAAATTTGTAGAAAACGTAGATTTTTCAAAAGTTTCTGTCTATACAATTTTGAAATCACAACGTTTCTATTGATTATCTTCAATCGTATTCAGGTAAACTGGCATACATGTTCCTTCCACGGTTATTTATACTGTTATCGCTGATGTGTTCTAAGGGATGACGTGTCTTATGTGATGTGGCTGGTCGGTGGTCATGACGTGTTGTTCGGGGGATAGACTCCCATATGGGTTTAATTTCTACGGTGGCATTACTATACACGTTACTGTTGCTGGATTATGTAAGCTGCCTCCTTGAATTTTCGGCGATACGTGTGCTTCTTTATGTTGGTCTCTTTCCAGTTTATTTCGTGGTGTTTTCTACATGTATGTTCCGCTATCTTTGATTTTCTGTTTTGGTCGGTTGAGAGTGAAGTCGGTGCTCCTTTTTCTTCACAGCCAGTGGTCTCTTCGTCTCCCCGTTGTAGACTTCTCCACATTCACATGGAACCTGGTATATGAAGCCCTTGGTGTCCGGATTTTCATTTCTGGGTTTGGTTTTTCTGAGAATGCTCGGTAGTGTTCGATTCCTTTAGAATATGGTTTCGATTGAATGAATGTAATTAACATAGCCAAAGAGTAAGCGGTTCGGAGTGCCCATAAACCCAGCTATCGACAAGGAAAGTAAAAAACGACAGATCGAATTCTATAGTATACGAACTCGTACTGATTGGCTTTTTTATGGCGATTGTTGAAATGAAAAAAAAATGATAAGAAAACTGTCTACCTCAGGGAGAGAAAAATCAGGATATAACTACTGTGATCGAAATATTTAATAGTTAAAGATTTTCAAATTTGGCTGACGAGAAGCTCCTCGTTGCCTAGCAACCCGAGTACGAGACCACGGATTTCATCGGCGCACTCTTTCTACATACATATTGCACGCTTCTCTCTCGTACACAATACGACGTCAGTGGTATTTGGTTTTCAGTGTATATGTGGTTTCATTGGCTAGACAAACATGGGAGATAATCAAAATACATCACAGACTGGTCGAATTAGGGATGCATTTCGATGTTGCGAGATGAGTCGCTTATTCAAAATTCAATCTGACAGGGTGTGAGGATGAAGATATTTTACAACACAAAATTCCACTGCCACAAGCATAACTGAAAATACTAAGTAAAATTCTGAACGAACCACCCATATTCTAACATCCAAATACTTGTCCACCCCTCAACTTACCTCAAATGTTGATTTCGGAATATCAACGGATGTGAAGACTATTTTGCAATGTGTAAATATTTTTTCAGCAAACTAAGAGGAAACTGGAAGATGTAGCTAGGAAATTGGAAACCCTGTATGATCTTCTACGAGAACAGAAGGTAAATCATAATCATATATCGAACATAAAACCATTGATTAACATATATTATCTGAAGCCATATGCCGTATTCCGACGTCCAAAAAATTATCCGACATAAAATGAGATACCATGGAGTCCTTTATTTGAATTTATTACAGCTATGGTTTTCATCTCTGCAATAATTATTAAATCACTTAGAAATGGTTTAGATGCCTCTATAGCCAACTATAGGTTTGTTATTACTGTGGTCAGTGACTGTGTCTGGGATCCAGTTGTGTGAATTCCGTCTGTATAGAGTGAACGGAATTTGTGTGGCGAGATCTTCGACACTGACAGATTGGCGACCGCGCTACAAACAGGACTTATATTAACTTATATGAGCAAGTAGATTTCTAATTATTGCACAGAGGAGAAATAACTGGTTGTCCAATAGGGACGCACGACGCAGGAAAGTAAACGTCAATTTGACATAGACGCCATCTTTGTTTTTGTCACCGACATGTCATTTTGTTAGTTGCATGTTTACCATTGATCGCTATGGAGTCGTATTCGATTGAAGACCGCATTAAAGTTATTCAAGAGCACTACAAAAATGGTGCAAAAATAAAAAACGTTTCGCGCGCTTCGTGAATATTTCTGTCGCAACAACCGCCCAAACGAAGCAACTATCGGTCGTCTGGTGCGTAAATTCGAGGCAACAGGTTCTGTGGTGTGGTGAAGGAGAGTGTGAGAGACGATCCGAAACAATCAACAACGCGTCGATCCCAAGAATTGGGCATTTCGAGAACCAGTTTGCTCCGCATTCTCCACAAGGATTTGAATGTACACGCCTACAAGATCCAATTGACGCAAGAGCTGCGTCGGGCCGACCATTTTTCGCGCCGAACGTTCTCAGATTGGCTCCTTGAACACCGCCAAATTGATGCCAATTTTTCATCAAAAATCATGTTCAGCGACGAAGCGCATTTCACTTTGAATGGGACGGTAAACAAGCAAAACCGCCGCATCTGGGCGAACGAAAATCTCCGTGAGTATCAAGAGCAGCCGATGCATCTTCAAACAGTGACTGTGTGGTGTGCATTGTGGTCAAAAGGCATCATCGGACCTTACTTTTTCGACAATGCGGCTGGGGACGCCGTTACCGTCAATTCTGAGCGATATCACGTGATGATAGAGGACTATTTTTTGCCGCAACTTGAAGGAATGGATATGGACGATGTTTATTACCAACAAGACGGTGCAACATGCCACACAACCAACGTCAATATCCATCGATTGCAGTCCTTCTTCGGTGACCGCGTGATTTCGTGCAGAGGAAATGTGCCATGGCCACCAAGATCGTGCGATTTGACTCCCTTGGACCCCTTTTTATGGGGATATTTGAAAAGCAAAGTCTACGTCAACAAACCAGCCACCCTCCAAGAACTCAAAAACATCATTGCCGAGATAAATGCCATAGAACCGACCATGTTGCAAAATGTCATTGAAAATTTCGACCATCGCGTTTACGTCTGTAAATCCAGTCGTGGTGAACATTTGAGCGATATTATTTTTCATACATAAATGGTATAAATGAACCTTCAAAATAAAGTACCCAACTTGATTTGAATATCAATCTTTCTTGTTTTAATATGCGTTTACTTTCCTGCGTCCGTTTTGGACAACCCCATATAGGTGTGACAAATTGTACCTCGGATAATATTTTGGATGCCAAAATACCCTACACGGTCTGTAGTATACGTTGATCAATGATAAAATCTTCTAATGATGTCAATGTAAATATTGGGTAAACAGTGAATTTTTTAAGTATCATGGATTTCAACCGCGAGACATCATGCCATTTTTTTGATGTTGTGTGGCACGAAGAAATTATTCATTCCTTCTCTGTTTGTCCGGTAATTTCAGTCTATAACCCTGAAAGTACCATTCGTATTACGACGAAATTTTAACGCACGGTAACTCATATCGAGTACGAAAAGGTTTGTAGCTTCGAAATTTGGTATAGTCACAAAATTAGCTAAACATTTTTAAAGTTCTCAGGTTTAGTTGTTGTGCTTCACGTATCATTTATGACTAGATTTTCAGCATATCTGGTATTTTTTAAAAATGTTTCAATGTTTTGCGAGTTTGAACTACATTTAATTCAATACTTCATCCTTATTAATTTATGTGTGTAACACAATGCGTACTGAAATCCACTTTTTGTTCTTTCGAGAATGCATTCTTTGAGTTTCCAGCGGTTTAAAAACCTCAACTTTTTGAATTTTTAAGGTATAAAAAACGTCAGGTTTCAAAACTTTTGACACCTTAAGAGTTTTTGTACTAGCCCTAAAGTGATCCAAAAATGAAAATCGTTCAAAATCAACGTTTGTATTTTTTGATGTTATCCTTTCCAAAAAGCTTTACTACACCCAAAAAGCCACCCGAAAAAGAAGTTTCGTTTTTGCCGATAACTCCTCTGAAGAGACAGACAGAATTCAAAAGCTTTTTAACCTATGTAAAATTGAGTCAAAATCGAAACGGTACAATAGTGTGGTCAGACAACAGACATTTGTTTTTGGTATCCAGTAATGGACAAAAGTATATAGACAAATATGAATATTTACCTAAATACCTTTAGAAAACGAATTCATATTTCAAAACAGTTTGGCAATAGTGAGCAAATATAAACAAAAAGGTATCTTGGAAGCCTCTAAGGGAAGTGGTCGGCCTAGAAAACTAATTGCTAGATCAGTTAGATTAATAAAAGTAATTTCGTCCAAAGATCCGTTTAAAACCCCAAGACAAATAAAAGCCGAAATCGAGACAATAGGAATTGTCAGTGTTTCTACGAAAACTATAAGTAGAAGATTAAATGATCTGAAGTTATTTGCACCTCGCCCGAGTAAGAAGCCGCTAATCTCCTCCTCTTGATTGGAGCATCTGTGACTGGAAGAGGGTATGTTTCAGCGACGAATCCAAGTTCAATATGTTTGGATCAGATGGTGTTCATTACGTTAGACGTCCTAGTGGACAAAGAGAGAGGGAACCCCAAGTACACTTTGCCCACTGTCAAACATGGATGCGGGTCTGTTATGGTTTGGGGGTGCTTTTCGGGGTTTGGGATGGGACCTTTACATAGAATAGATGACATTATGGATAAGTTTGTATACACAGACCTACTAAAGCATGTCACACCTTTTGTACAGACTTTTTTATATCGGGTTAAGTGGAAGAGCAGCTTCAGCTGAACTTCGCCCGTATTTGGCTATTTTTTATATAATCAGTCTATTTGGAAATAAAGACGTTTATTATTATTATCATTATGTTACCCTATATGGAAGACAATATGCCCTTAAGATCAATCTTCCAGCAAGATAATGACCCGAAGCACACTTCAAATCTCGCAAAGAAATTCTTTCTGGATGAAAAAATACCAGTTCTCAAATGGCCTTCACAGTCTCCCGATATAAACCCCATTGAAAATCTATGGGAATACTTAGATAAGCAAATACGAGATAAAAATTATTCAAACAAGGATGAACTTTTAGAGCAAAAGTAGAGACAGTTGATGAATCTTATATCAAGAAACTTCTACAATCTGCCAGGCTGTGATTGATAATAATGGTTATGCTTCAAAATATTAACACAAACATCGTTGATTTTCTATAATTCAATAACCTTGGCTTCTTTTTTCTATAATTGTTTTGCTTTGTCTATATATTTTTGTCCTTCATAGTTTTAGCAGTTTTTTTCAATTAATTTTTTATTGAAGGGAGTCTAATTATTTATGCATAAGTATTATGCTATAAAGAATTGTATACAGGTTGGTGTATTAATAAAACAAGTTAAAGAAATACAGTACAATATTAATTTGTCTATATACTTTTGTCCATTACTGTATGTGCAACTATCAAAAACTATCTCGATTTTAACATGGGAAGCAAGATGCTTTCATGTAACTCCTCCATTTTGTAGTACATACCTACATTATTTTATCTTGTTTTCAGCTGTCTCCGAAAACACTAGATTCTTTGCATCAAATGGTGCAATTGATCCAAGGTGGAGATTATCAAAGTGGTCTAGGTCTGCACACTCAGATGGTGTCTGGACCTGATTTTGCTCAGATAGCGTCCTTTATGCCTGGTTTGAAGGTTCTCTTGCAATGTGCTATACAACTTCAGGTTTACTTAAGATAAGGAATGAACTGTTCAATGTAGGGGAAGTTTGAAAAAAGAAATGTGTATGATCAAAGTGGGTCGGATATGAGGTGATTGAAGGTTGAATTATGCCGTTTTCACTACTTTCTAAGCATAACACTTATCAATATGGCGCTTTTTTTATCTGTTGTATTTCAAGCTGATTTGCAGAACTACGTAAAAATAAGCATTCTGATGGAAATGTTGCTAAATGTTTTATCTTCATTTGTACTAATAAAAAAGTTGATATATTATAGCTTTTATTTTGTATTTATAGTTTATAAAAAATAAATGAATATATTATTGCATGTTTGTTTTATTCTGACTGACAAAGGATACAGGAAACTAACTTTGCTAGTTTACTAATCAAAGACCTCGAATGGGTGGGCTAGAAATTTGAATAAGCGGTTATGTTGACATAAAAAATTAGTTTTATGTTTGACATTTGACCATCCAGTGCTTTCGCTCAATGGTATGAAAATCGATTAGATTAGGTTAATATTTTTGCCGGAAAATGTTTTCAAAAGAAGCTCTATTTCACGAGTAAGGCTATGGCAATTGCCGCATTTGGACAACAGAGAATCCATACGTCATCGAACAGAAGGTAGTGCATCTACTATAGCGCCAGAATCGGCGGCATCTAGCGGCCACAGTGATGACCTGGCTGGCAATGCGAACTGGTACTCCAATAGCTTGCTGTTCTCACTTTCACTACGGTAGATTCTGGTAATAGATGACACTTTCTAGTTCACATGTTGATTCACTAAACTGTAGAACCTTCCTGACCTATTGAATGACAGGATGTCGGACCATTCCGCTGAATGAGCAACTTCAACAAATTTTGTGGCCCCATATAACTGAGCCCTTAGACCACATTAGCACAGAAAGCGGAACGCTGTTTCGTCCTCCTCCCAGCACTTGGTGCATGTTTCCATTTTTAAAAGGAATAAGTGCCTAAGCAGGGTCATTTGTTTAGATCGGGCTAAACTCTGAAGGGCAGTAGTGCATTTCTGAACTAAGGGTGACCTTGTCCTCGGGGATTCCTCTTCAGAGTTTCTTGGCTGTCGGATCATATGAATATGCTCCGCTCGGTGCACTGCTGAATTTCCTACTAAGATTTCACCGTTCAGATGGCAGTGAAAAATATATTCTCTTTGGTTGATCGGAATCCCCAAGCCGCAGACGCTCTGTTACGCCTCTGTGCAAGTTGACCGGAGATCCTGTACACATATTGACAATACATCAAATCAAACATTCCTGTCTAGCTCATATTAGTGGATCTTAGTTGCGCTAATAAGGAGAAAGCAATCGATTGAAACAAAATTATTATGCGAATTTAAAGAATGCTTTTATTTTTTGAAACAACTGCTTCAACTAGGGCAAGAACATAAAAATTTTCAATAACAAGTTTATAGAATATATGTAAATATTCTCCTAAAATTCGTTTAGTACATATTAAAAAATATTCAAAAAGATTGTTTGCTTACACATTATTTTCGGCCATATATCACAGTCACATGTAAAAACAATCTAAAATAGAATTTTTCATCTCTAATGTAATAAAGATTACTAAATATTGCAATGTACTAAACACTAATATGAGATCTTAACAATTAAAAATACTTTATAAGCGGAAAAAAGTACTACCTACAACCCTAAAACAAAGCTTTAAAACCTTGCTCTGCAATTATCATGCTCAATAATAACAAATTCAAGTCTTGTCGACAAAATATATACGAGATAAAGATGAAATATGACGTATTTTTTAAATATACAAATTCAAGGCGAGTTATTGACTAATAAAAGAAATACTTATGTTTGTCAGTATCTTGATTGATTTATATTGAAGTTGAAGGTTAAACATTGTGCTTTAAAGTAATCCACTGTTGAAAGAAAATTATTCTGAAATGGAATATGAGCATGAAAATTGGAGAGAATGATTTTCTAAAAAAGAGGCACAAAAAAGATCATTACAATAGAGTGACCTGTCCAAGATTTGCAGAAATGATCATTTCCATGACAGATTGGAAGACAACTTGTACATTGGCAGTATCAGTAGCAGTAGTGAAGTGAGGATAGAGTACTTTTCTTGAATCCCCATTTCTCAAAATAAATTTATGCTGGATGAACAAGGCACCACGATCAACATCAAAATCTGGACCTGAATATAAAAAGAACACATTCTTAGAATTATTCTCCAACCTACTACCTGCAAGATTTCAAAAGTAAATTCTCATTACTTGTGCTTTATTCAGGAATTCATTTTTATTATATTGATGATTTTTGAGAACAGGTAGGTATCATGTTTTTACTTAAAAGTGGAGATAAGGGCTGTTTCAGGGCTAAAGTTATCAAGATGTGTGTAGGGATGCAACGATATATCGGAAAACCGATAAATATCGATATATCGACAACTAAAAATATCGATATCGACGATACGCCGATATCGATATCGAAAAATTCAATATATCGTATCAAAATATCGAAAAACCCACCCAAATCAAAATACCCACAAAATCGGGTACTGGAAGCTATAACAAGAGAGGCTTCTGCCGAACATTATGTCACTATTTCAAAAGTTGTGCCTATGGTGAGTTGTGCAATTGACCAATACAATCAATCGAGGATCAGTTGGAATACAATATGTTAATAACAGTTTCGACGTTGCTAGACTCTCGTTTCAAAAACTTGCATTTTAAGAAACCTGACGCATGTGCAAAAGGGATTTCAAGAATTAGAAAATTAATTTCAGAATATAAATCTGCAGCCGCAGCCGCAACAGGTTCATCACCATCTTCAGAGGATAAAGATAAAAGTGAATGTAATTTTTGGAAGCACCATAAACACGCAAATAAAAAGAAAAAAACTGACGGTGACGACGAGCTCACGTTATATCTTTCTGCTCCTGTAAATACTCTAAAAGTAAACATTATTGAACTATGGCAAGAGATGCAAGGTGTATATCGCAATCTTTTTAAAGTGGTCATCTACCAATTGTGGCAACAAACGTTCCTTCCGAACGTATTTTTTCAAAAGCAGGAGCCACTATAACTCAGAGCAGAAACCGGCTACAAGGATGCAGACTGCCAAAGTTACTATTTTTAAGTTCAATAGCTAGTACAAAATACTGGAATTAATTTTCCCAAATAAATGTATGGAAAGAAAAACACATTTTATATACTTATCCGAATTTTGTTTCACTTCACATACATAAGTATAAAAATGTATATACATATATAATCGATAACTGTTTGATATAACTGAAACAACATTGGATTTCTAATTTGTGTAAGCTTCCAAGAAAATATGAAATATGGATATATCGACTTAATAGACCGATATATCGATATCGATTTAATTCGATATACAGGGTGACTTCGAAGTTGAGTCATTTATTTTAACAGTGAGTAGATCTGATCAAAAGAAATGTTTTTTTCCTTTACCATTTTTCTGGTAAAATTAAAGTAACAAAGTTATAGCCCTTTGGAAGTTTGAGTACCGCCCTGTCTCAATAATATCATGTGCTCGTGTTTGGCAACAACGGATATAATCCGCCTTATCGGTTCATCGCATCGGAAACAAAAAAGCGAAGGAATTTGGAACGATGTTTTTACAATTATGTTATTCAGTTCAGTTATACATACAGTCAGTATCAGTCGCGTGTGAATAGTGTCTGTTGCGTGGCTCAAACGAAATAAAAAATGGCACATGTTTATGCGGATCGGTTTCCCAATCGAGTGCAACCAACCCCTCGTGACTTTGTTAATGTAGTACAACGGGCTCGTGAATCAGGTGACTTAAGACCTCACAGGGGACCTCACGATCAAATACAGGTCCGCACTGAAATACTTGTCGGGAGCATACTTTATAAAACAAGGTAACATTTTTTTTTATTTTTACACACATATTTTGGTTTATCTTCCTTCTACAATCATTATCTGAAAATTAATGACTCAACTTCAAAGTCGTATATCGATATTTATAAAAAGTTTGCATCCCTAGATGTGTGTGTAAAAGTGCAGAAATTTGCATAATAGCAAATGTGTGTGTGTTACTCAATAAAGACTACAATATATTTTATATTGTAAACAGTAAAAGAAATTTTTTGTTAAGGCTGAAGAGAATTTGAGGGCTTACCCTTATAATCTGGAAAATACAGTCTCAAATGTCTTTGTGAATATAGTATTTTTTCTCTGAACAAGTCAAATTTGTTTAAAAATAGCACAAAGGAAGCTTCTTTGAAAAACGGATTATTCACAATTTGCCCAAACAGATTCAAACTTTCCTCCAGTCTATTTACATTTGGATCCTCCTAAAAAGTGATATAGAAATTAGAATCTAAAAATTATCTACAAAAATCTGATTTCTAATTGATTTCAAACCTTCAAGGATATCAATAAAAATACTTACTAATAAAGTCATATCATATCCACTGAGTGAGATCACAAATAAGACAGCTCTGACATCATCAAAGCAATATATCCACTTTCTACGTTGAGATCTCTGACCACCTACATCATACATACTAATAATCATATCATTGATTCGAAATTGAGTTTCTATAATGCCCTGTGTTCTCACTCTAGCTCTCAAAACATCAGTGGCATTTGGCACATATTTTGGATCACAAATTCTCTCCATGTTTTCAAAGAGACTAGAAAAAAAAAACACCTATAATACGAGGTGCATTCTCATGTACAGGGTATACTGTAAGTTGGGTGTTTCCTTTTCTGAAACAAATATGTAATAGCAAACCTAATGTACGTGAAAACAGCACCGAAAAACGTAAGGAAGAAACTGAAGAAAAGTATTCACTATTTTAAGGAATTTCTAGTACTGCCCTATCACATGCTTTATTTGTGAATTCCTTCCTACAGATTTTTCTGAAACTTAACATCTAGGTTTTGATATACAGGTACAGGAAAGCCAAATTTGTCTGATGGCTTGAGTTCAGTGTGTATAAAAGAGAAACGCGAGAAGTGAGTATCAATCCATGTTAGATAGAGATAGAAGCCGGCTGAAGAGCAAAGGTCATCACCACATCGCCTAGCAATGGTGACGCAGAAGGTCGTGCAATCTGCCGCGAAGCCAATGTTACACCAGAAACTGTTCGCACAGGCTTCTACAATAGGTTAGGCTACTATCAAACCTAAGAAGGAGGTATGTTCATATATTTGATTCAATATTTTGTTTTCATTTTGATTAGAATTATTTATTCTAATTTTGATTTGACTTCAATTCATTTCAGAATTACCTTTGATTTCCAAGGATGGTGATAAAATCAACACATCCTGAGTTACTTTTACATTTTTTGCTTATCTATGATCATGGAGTTGCCTTGAAATGTACAAGATGCGATGTTGCCACATATTTTCAACATGCATCTTAATTCAAGGAATTGGCTTAACATATTTGGCAGATTGCCGTGTCAGCATTGCTAGGCAACATGGTGATGAGCTTTGCTATCCTGCCAGCTTCTATCTCTTTCTAATATATGTGCCTATACGCACTTCTCTCTCATACACATTGAGCCATCAGACAAATTTAGTTCTCCATGTATGTGTTACTAGGAAGATTTGCTTATTGTTACATGAACTTAAAAAAAAACTCCCAACTGTAAGAACACTCTGCACGAAATACTAATAGTTTTTTGAGATAAATTTCATTTTATGCATGATTATTATTACCTTAAATTATAGGAGGGAAGAGGTAGGGAAAAGAAGGTAAGACAACGAGAAACTTAAGAAGTACATCAAGTAAATGGGCAGTGTATGACTGCTTCAGTAATTTTGGTATGAAAATGATTTGTACTCACTATAGGGCAGAATCATTCAGTTCATACTCATAACCCCTTGCAACAGCAAGTCTAACACCTCTGTCTGACCAAAGAACTTGCATGGCAGTAGCAACGCTTGGTATTATATTAAAGCTCATATCAAAGCAACTTTTGGCTAAAAGAACAGTTTGGGCATGTACTTTATTGCAACTATGTTCTAAATTAATTCTAAGAATGCCCATTCCAGCAAGCACATATTTCATGGAGGCCAAGAGGTTGTCCAAAACTGTAGGTCGAAAAGAAGTGAGTTCTGCTTGCGTAAATCCATCTGCATGGATTATTTTCATCTGTTTTACTAGAGTGCTTTTCCCACTTTCGCCAGCGCCTGAAGGAGTAGATAATTAATACTGAAACGTTAACAGAAGCAAATACATACCAAGCAGGAGAATTTTTATAATGTTACTTTGTTGTTTGGCAAATTCTCCCAACTGCCTGTCTATCTCTTCGCTACGTTTCCTGGCTTTACCCTCCTCACGTTCTAACGTTAAGCATGCCCCCATGTCCAGTACATCATGAGGCATCGAAACAGAGTAATTTCAATCATGTGCACAATCATGCAAAATTCTTGGTATTGTTTATATGGGGCATCTGCCAAACATTTGCGATCTTCAGGACGAAAGCGACTTGGTAAAGTATTCGTTTCTCCAATTATACGCTTACTTTTCATTCAGAAAATGTGAGATATCGAAAAAAATATATTTTTTTGGAGTAAATGCACTTTTGCAGCTTTTTAAAAAGCACTTTAAAAACTTGTTGCTGCTTGTCAACTTAGCTGTCAAAAATCGCGTTGGTGAAAGTGACACATGACATAGAACATCAAGGTCATGAACCGAAACATAAAGCTCTTACGCCACAACAGGGCCGTACTCAAGGATACGAAGAGTTTCTTTATAGTACAGTCAAAATAAGAATTTTGGACAATACCTGTATATCTCCATGTTACTTGAGCGTATTCCTTTTTTGCATTTGATCAATCAAATGTTATCGGATAATAAGAACACGTCTTATTGTGATGCAGCTCAATGTTTAGGGTGTTCCATGATTTTTTTAAACCAAAGCTGGGTGAAGTGCCGCAAAAAGCAATAACAGGCCTAAAAATCTAATGAGAACTCGAACAATACATACATCTTTTATTGAGTTTTAATTAACATCCCACAACATTGTCCTACAAAAATATAGCTGTAAATGCATATATACCTATTTTACAATTCCTGTTCAGGGTTTTATTGGTAAAGCAGGATGAGTGGGGCTCAGCAGATCCTTTTAATTCCATTCACCTTTTAGATCTGAGGTCGGCATACGCTGACAGTCAGAGAGAAATGATCCAGACATACTTCGATTTCTTGAAAAGAGCGCGATTTCCATATGCGATATATAGTCCACAATGTTTTTTAGACGGTAATCACAGTTTAGAACCAGAATAACATTCTATGGATTTACTGTCTTCCAATTTCTTTATTTCTTGCAATGAGAACCCCAGTTCCGCCAGTACTTCTCTTGTATGTTCGCCTCTGCGAGCTAGTTTTTCCATGCCCATTGATCTACCAGCAGTTCTGCTCAATTTTGGAGCTGGATTTGGAACTATTTTTCCTTCAGTTTCACTGAAAGTGCCTTGTAATGAATTATGAGCATGTTTAGGTGCTTCGTCAAGCTCCAGCACAGGCGTAACACATGCGTCCAGTTCACTGAAGATATCCTCCCATTCTTCACGTGTTTTCTGTTTGAATATATCGCCAAACAAGGTTTTCAACTCATCGAAATCGCCAAATTGTGGCGCCTGTTGTTCTGTTAGCCCCAAACCCTTCAAAAGGTCGGCGTAGAACTGCGGTTCCAAAGCACCTAAAAAAAGGTGATCAAATGGATCAATGTTAAGAGATTCCGAAAGAACGCTGTCAGTCTATGTGTTATGGTACTGACAAACAACTTCAAAAACAACGTAAATCGACAAAAAAATTATATGCAGAATATTTACTAACCTACGGCAAGATGTTTATCGTCCTTTGTCCGATACACCTGATAAAAGTGTGCACCCGAGTCTAAAATATTCTCCCCTGGCCTGTTTCCCCATATAGGCAAGTTCTGAGATCGAAACAACCAACTGCCCAAATAAGCAGATCCGTGTACCATGCTGTTATCCACAACTTGACCCAAACCAGATTTGCTTCTTTCTAGGAGGGCCAGTAGTATGCCAAGGGCGCACATAAGACCTCCGCCACCAAAATCGGCAGCTAGGTTAGTTGGTGGAAGTGGCGGCTCTCCTTTTCGCTTGAAGAGAGATAGTATGCCTAGAAATAAAGACCAACAATTTTGGAAAAATATAATGCTTGTTTGTATTATCAGGCGGTATATGAGTTACGTTTTATTAATATTCTTCAATGTGCCTCTCATCTGTTTGTACAGATGACCATAATTCGATTACAATCTTCAGCAATGTTTTGCACAATTGCGACTCAATATCACCAATAATTTGAAAACAGCTCAGCTTCAGGTTATGTATAATATACAATTTTTAGGTCGAATAGTAGGGAAATTTAAATACCGAAGTACCAATTGAGGTTGAGACGCCTTTATTACATATGTTCTAAAGCCTACCTGATATTGCAATATAATTGATATCATGTCCAGCACATCTTGCAAGTGGCCCTTCTTGACCATATCCAGTAAGCCTGGCGTAAATCAGTTGAGGATTGGCTTCCAGTAAAACCGTTGGACCTAATCCTAATTTCTCCATTACGCCTTTTCTGAATGGTTCAATCAGTACATCAGATTGTCTGCTTAATTTTTTTACTATTTCGACAGCATTTGGGGATTTCAAATTCAGACAAATCGACTTCTTTCCATTTCCTAAGCAATCTAGGTCGACATTTTGGCCAATCTGAAAAAAGTTCTCCATTTTAAGAAATTTAACTACCTTGATGAACGACTACAACGGTATTCCCATTCCCATCGAAATGATGGTTGACCAAACGCGGTGTATGATGCACATAATTTTCAGGGATCTGAATACGGACCTGTCCAATCGGTCACGGAACACAGAACTTGATGAGGTGGTTCCGTTATCCGTTTATAGAGCTCATTTCAATTTCAACTGGATTTTGGGTAGTTACACTTTATAATTTGGCAAGAATAAAAAAAATCATTCTATTTTTAACTATTGATGTGTCATAACTGCAAAAATAAAATAGTTCCAGTACTATTCAGAATCTTGAAAGCCATTGATCTATTCATCTATTGTAAAAGTACTATCTAGGTTAATTTTTGCTATTTGCGCTTATTTTACCTTATCTATCCTTATAACGGTTGCACCAAAATCTCTCAACAGCATTCCACAAAATGGTCCTGGTGCTAAACCAGAGAATTCGATCACTTTCAACCCTTTCAAAGGCATCTTGCCCAGCTTACTATAATTTACTATTATTAATGCACAATGTTTTGGTTTGGACCTGCTTATATTGATTTAGGTTGAAAGGTCAAGGCGATATTTACGACTTTCGTCAATATTTATCAAATTGTACGTTTTTCTGATTGTTCACTGTTCACTCAATCTTATGGTAAAAAGAGGAATTTTTACACCTTAAGTATCCGTTTATAGCGTGCAAAGTTCAATAGGTGGTACCGATAGCCGATAACATAGATTCAGTCAGCTCTGTGGCTCCAACATCAAGAATATGAGCTTTTTTCATAAACTGGCTTTTGTAACAGGTAAATATGAAAGTTTAGGGTAGGTAGTATAATCTTTCAATCACGGTTTTCAGTTTTCATAATTCCTTTGTTTTAAACTTTATAAAACAAAAAATAATGATCGCAGGTCACGTGGAGTACATACAACAGAAAAAACACAGACTAATCTATCATCTGACCTTCAAATCGAAATTGGTGTTCCATGATATTTATAGTATGGTCATTTTATGAATCTAGGTGGTGGTTCCGGCATAGGAAGAGCGACCGCCAAAATTTTAGCAAGAGAGGGCGCCTCCGTTGTAGTTGCCGATAAAAACACGGACAACATACTAGATACCTTGAAATCGATCCCAAAACATGCAGACCAAGAACATCTTGGAGTAGAAATAGAGGTTTCAGAATTGAATAGTGTTAAAGACTGTTTGAAAAAAGTTTTGGACAAATATAGGCAGCCGCCCACTATTATAGTAAATTCAGCAGGGATTACTAGAGACAATTTTCTTTTGAAACTTTCTGAGCAGGATTTTGATGAAGTACTCGACGTGAACTTAAAAGTAAGATATTCGCTTGTAAGCTCGAAGTATGTCGCTGCGAGCGCCACCTTTGGGGAACATTGTGCTGAGACATCAACGCAAGCCATATAGTTAAAAACAAATATATATTGCCATCTTTATTATTTTATTAATATTATCAACAAACAAAATGATGTTACCAATTAATTTTAAAATAATCTGGAATTTAAGATTAAACATAAAAAGGTTCACCATTTTTTATAGTTTGAAGGCTTCAGATATTTTTTATTCTTTTAGGGTACCTTTTTAGTGATTCAGACGTTCGCCAATTCTATTCTTGCTCATAACTTACCATGTGCTTCAATAATAAATATAGCAAGCATTGTGGGAAAATATGGTAACTTGGGACAAGCAAATTATTGTGCCAGTAAAGCAGGTGTTGAGCTTTTAACCAAAACTGCCGCAAAAGAACTTGGTAAAATGAATATAAGGGTAAACTGTATTTTGCCTGGCATGATTTCTACACCAATGTTGGAAGCTGTCCCAGATAAGGTCAAAGAAAAGTTTACAAAAATGATAGCCATGTGCAGATTTGGAAAACCAGAAGGTTAGATATGAGCCTTAATTTTAGATACTGAACTGAACATTGTTCTTTTTACAGAGGTTGGTGAAGTGATTGCATTTTTGGCCAGTGAAAAAAGTTCTTACATAAATGGGGCATCAATTGAGGTGACAGGAGGATTTTAAAAACAAATATAATTGTGGATGTAATAAATATTCTACATTGTTTTCACTTTTTCTTTTTTAATCTTTTAGCTTGCCTCCATGCTTTATAATGTGTCTTTTGTTTTTCTTCAATAATCTCCTTATACTTCCTTTTGTTGTATTTGTGGAATTCTGCATCTGCCAATAGTTCATCTACTAGGGTCTTCTTGCGTTCTTTCTTTGTTAATCTGTTGCTATAGAATTCTAATGGTGAATCCATCACCTTACCCATCTAAAAAATAATGATATATTATATATTATCAGGTGTGACATAAAGAATATTTTACCTCAAAATACTTGGGCAAAACTTTTAGGTCATTCTTCTTGTAAAAGTGTTTTGGATCTAACACAGAACGCATTTTAAGAATCTCTAGGTCATTCTTGATTTCCTCAGTCATTTCAGTTGCTGGTAATCCAAACCATTTTTTGCCTTTTGTCTTCTCCCTCTCCAACTAAAATAAATAAACAATGTTTTTATGAATAAACCATGGACACCAATGGATTTATGATGCATATAACACATTTATATTAGTACACGCAATCTCACTTTCGATTACAAAAAAGTTGGAGAATATAATCGTCGGGATTGTTTAAAAATGGTTCAAACATGTCTTTTTTCAACTTTGCAATTTCATTGTATTTATATTTATATGCAAAAGAACTGTTCTTATGAACTTTTCAAAGAACTCAAGAAGAGTACTTTTGTGGAAAATAAAATGACAAACATCTTAGATGTATATTATTATTTTGTTGAGAATATACCTAGTTGACTAGGTGGAAAACAGAAAATTTGCATCAACTTGATATGAATGACTTAAACTCCATTAAAACAGAAAATGAAACTAAAGCCCTCTTATGATGGATGCAAATATACTTTTTTTTGTCAAGTACTCATCATGTAATTAACTGTTCAAAGAATGCAGTGTCCCAAGCTGGAAACATTTCCTTAAGAATCTGACACTTGTTAATTGAAGAATAATTCAAGATACTGAGGGTGTTATTTAGACAAAAACACTAAGAATTTGTTGCTAAATTAAAGAAATATAAATTTCATCTTGTGGTATAATTATTCATTTTCTTTTTTGAATGATAAACAACTTTCTTCCTGCAGCACAGAAATGGTTTCCTCTGAAAAGTTTGTTTACGAGCAATACTCGATCCTTGCACAGTTGAGAAACCTGTATATCTCTTTATTTTTTTGACAGTGAAGAATACGTTGAGTAACTTACAGGATCATTGGTTTATTTTTCACAAAAGCTGTCAATTTAATTTTTTTCAGAAAAGGCAATATTAGTTATTCCAGATAATTTACAAAAATCAGTTTTCTTGCAACTACCAAAATATACATTTTTTGACATTACCCCATTTTTAAGGCTTAGAGTGGTGAAATATTATGATATAAAATTATGACATGATTATTTTTTATTTTTAATTTGTTGTGTCACCATAAACAAAAGAAGTCATGTTTATTGACTGCTATATGCTGTGGAAAAGAGGTATTTCTCTCCATAGGTGAATAATTATAAGAAAAAAATATCTAGGTAAATAATGTCATTTAAAATTGTATCCTGTCAATTATATCACTTTAACAAGTAAGCTTTTAGTATATTGCGAAATGTATACCATAGCTGCTTTCCAGAGATTTTTGGTTTAGAGAGTAACTCAACAGGGTCACTGGAAAGCAGGTCAGGTAACTAGATACATCATGATTATGATGAATATTTTGTGATATAGTGTTAGCAGTGAAAAAATTCTATATATAGTGGATACCAAATAAAATCCGATGCACGTCATAGGTGATGTCATTCATAAAAATCATGGTTACCAACAGTTGACTACATTCAATGTGACATTTCTACTTGAAGTTTAAATTTCCCCGTCTCGATTCGGTTGGTAGTGCCGTGCAGAGAAATGTGAGGTTGCCACTTCTCATTTGTTGACATCAGTTGCCATTGTCCCTTTGTCGTACTATTAGTTCTTTTATTATTTAGTTTGAGTTTTGCGCTATTTGAGCTTTGCCTTGCCAATTTAAAATTGTTCTTTTCAAAACAACAGTTACTGTGAAGTGGTGTAAAGTATCCAAAATGCCAAAACAACTTAACAGTCGGTGTAAAGAGCTCATATCATTGAATATCTACCAAAATCAGATGTTTTTATTCAGAAAGGAATTTAATTTTACAACAAGTTTATTTATTTTTAATATAATGGTATTATAGTAAATTGTAGGTATATATAAACAATTTATTTTATTAAATTTATTTGCTTAAAAGAAAATGTGCAAATTCTGGCAACAGCGCACAGTTCCAGATCGATGACGTGCATCGGGTTTTATTTGGTATCCACTATATACCTCATTTGAGAAGGCCATTCATTATTGGTTATAAAAGTGCTTACACAATAATGGCTTACTTCTCAAATTAGGTATGTATAGTCAACGCCAAACAAAGTGGCGTGCACGTCATCACGATAAAAATTCCCCGACCTAATGCCTAGGTTTCTATCACAAACAATTGCTCTATTGCAGTTTCATATTAATGTGATATATAAATTGTAAAATGGTCATTACTCTCTTATTATGGTTAATAGTCATATAAACATTGTTATTAAAATATCACATAAGTTGCTTTCTGATAAATTTAGACGCATTATGCGAAATAAAATGTTTTGCAAACGCTCCAATCACTTATCGACATGTAAACGCACTAAACCGATTTCGCAGCGTTGACACATTGTCACCTTGAAACTTATTTAAACTGGGAACTGACATTTGTATTAATTTTGACACTGAATCAATTTGTGGCATTTCAAATCTTTATAAATCCTTTGGCCCCGCATACTGTAAATCAACAACTGTTTGTTTCAAAACAAAATTATTCATTTTACGAGTAGATAAAGGCAATTTTGGTATATAAAGATGCCCAAACAGTTAAATAGTCGGTGTAAGGAACTCGTGGCCTCGTTAATGCACTACTTTGAGCAAGAAAGGGACAACAACGGGCCTTTGTTGCCTTTAAATGCTGTTCAAGAGGTAGGTTACTAATAATTATATGTAATGTATATTAATAATAGTGAAATTTTATTTCATTTTTTGTAGCGTGTTGCTGCTGCTTTAAAAATTAGTTTAAGGACAGTTAGTCGTATTTCCGAGGGTGTGAAAAGTGATGCAAATTTAGAATCGCCCAAGAAAAAGCGGAGTTATATTAAACGTGTAACCAACACAACGACATTGGATACAAGTGCCATTCGAGAAGTGATCTATAATATGTATCACAAAAGTAAGATCTTATTATAATAACTTATCAGAAATTTGCATTAATTTGTTAACTAAATTATAATGTCATATTACACATGGTTTCAGAAGAACAAGTTACGATACAAACTTTATGGTCTCGATTAAGAGATAGGGCATTATTTGATGGCAGTGCCACGTCTTTAAGGCGGTTGCTTAGAGATCTTGGATTTAAGTGGCTTAAGGACAATCCGCGACGAGGGCTCATGGAACTACCAAGTATAGCTTTGAAAAGGGTGGAATTTCTAAGGCAATACAATCAAGCCAAGGTTGAGGCCTTATACCAGTTTGTCTTCCTCGATGAAACTTGGATATTTCAAAATGGGACCATAGGTCGCTCTTGGCAAAATGGAAACCAAAAAAGCGTGAAAGCTATTAAAACAGATGGTAAAAGGTATGTACTTTTACACAATTTGCACTATAAAATTTAAAACTAATATATTTTAGATACATTATATTACATGCTGGAAATGAAAATGGGTTTATTGAGGGTAGTGAAGCGATATTTTCTTCGAAAACAAAATTGAGCGATTACCATGGAGAGATGAACCAGGACAATTTTTTGAAATGGTTTCAACATCAGTTATTAGAAAAATTGGAGAGTCCATCTATGATTATACTGGATAACGCCCCTTATCACAGCATGATATTGAACAAAGTGCCCAACAATGCATGGACAAAAAAAAATATCCAAGACTGGTTGACAAATCAAAACATACCATTTTTAAACACAATGTTTAAAACAGAGCTATTGAGTATTGTTGCTCGGTACATAATGCTTCTTAATTATATATATCTTGGTCGACAGTTTATATTTCTTTTGTTTATTCCTATTCTTAAAATAACTGCTTTTTTAGAAACAAACCACCTAAAATATACGTGATTGATGAATTGGCGGAACAACATGGGCACAAAGTTCTTCGTCTGCCTCCTTACCATTGTATATTTAACCCTATTGAGTTAATTTGGGGCATAGCAAAAGGTTACTATAACAGACATATTGGTAGAGATGGTAACAGTGAAAAAGACTGTTTGGATATGTGGAACGAGGCTCTACAAACGGTTACCCCAGACATGTGGAAAAATAGTGTTCGACATACTGAGCAAGAAATTTTTAAATGGTATGAAAGAGAACGAATTTTTGATCGACCAGACATCGAACCTTTAATAATCAACTTTGAGAGTGATGAAGATTCAGATTCAGACAGCGCTGAAGAAAGAAACTCCGACTAACTTTATTGTACAGAAAAAGCTTACACCAGTAGCTTACCTAATTTTAGAATGCATTTTTCTGTATGAATTCTGTAAAATAAATACCATGCATAAAATTTGGAGGACCCCATTTGGATTTTTATTCAGTACCTTTAAGCTATCAATTAAATATGGTAGTTTCATAGTGTCATCTGATCAATAATTGTCATACTTAATGATTATGCAAGTACAGATCTATAATTTTATTATACTATTATTTTTGTTCTCATTTGAGGTTAATATTGCTTATAAACCTAGATATGTAAATAATAAATTTTATTATTTTACAAAAAGTTTGGCAACAATGTAAATTTTTCAACACACCCACCTTGATGACGTGCACGCCACTTTGTTTGGCGTTGACTATATTGTTCTATTACGTACCTTTCTCTGCTTTTTAAGATTTCTCTCTGATATCTCTACAGGTGGAACAGTTTCTAATTTTTCAAAATCAGTATTAAGAATTGATTTTTTTAAAGCCTCTTTCACTTCTTTGCGTTTATCAGTTGGTTCAAAATCATCAACTTTATTTTCAACTTTCTTCTTGTTTTTCCTATTTTTATTTACCCCTTTCAAGTCGTCTAATATTTCTTTAACTAAAGTTTTCTGTGGATCTTCTTTAGGCTTTTGAGCATTTGTGGTTTCACGTGGAAGATCTGGATAATCTTCAAATAACTTTTGAAGGAAAACCGGATCTGAAATAGGAAAGTAGGTATATTATACTGATTACTGAGTATTAATGCACACAGGGAATATATTACCTGTTTTCTGAGTGTTTTTCCTTGTACCCACTGTATCAATTATAAAATCCATTTGGAAAATCTCTATTTTGGAATAAACATGCACTTTTGTTTGGGGCTATGTAGATAAACTGATTTGGAAAAATAAGGTTAATCAACATGCATGCACATTGACATATCGGATATACGTCACACAATACAGACAGCTGCATCACCGGTTGCATATATTGTAAATTCAAGGAGGTTATACAAAAAATTAGACTAAGCTATTTATACAGGGGGTATCCGAGAATAGGCGAACTCATGTTTGTAGAACAAGAAAGCTATTGCATTACAAAGAGGCATTCTAGGAAGACGTACTACGTGCTTCCCCTATACCGTATATTTCATTTTTTAGCTAGGCGGTTCTAGAGTTGTATTCTCTTTGGCCATAGTCACGTTGGTGACTCAGTGATCTGACTAAAAGAAACACAGTTAAAACCAAATCACTCATTCAAAAGAGTTTACCATTCAATGATGTGCAACAAAATGAGCGTCGATGAGCAGGAAATCATTGTTGTTTATTTATTTCATTAAATTTATCCTGATACATCAACAAAATTACGACACTCTTCTTACGATGAGGAAGAGGTAGTAACTTCTGGTGGTTTTTCTGTTGTAACTCCTTCTGCAGGTTTTCCTGTTGTAACTCCTCCGGTACTAACTTTTTCATTTCCTTCTCCTGGGGTTGCCTTGGCCGTTACAGCTTCCGGTTCTGGTTTTTTACCTTCCGAAACACTCGGCAGTGTTACTTCTTGAGACGCAGATGTTACCGAAGCATTGGCTTGGCCACCATTAGTAGCACCGTTAACACTCGGTTCACAGACGTTTCGGGTACAGTTGAACGGGATTCCGTTTATCGTAACCTGTAGATCGAGAAAAGATCGAAGTCTGAATATATCCGAAAAATGAGAATGTCATTTTGAAGTGTCCCAAAAAATCGATATCATGAAAATCGGAGGATGGTTCATATCTCTCGAAGTAGGAGGACACTCGCAGAATAATTGCCAAAGTGATCGATATATTCGAAGTACCAGCCGAAGTACTTATAAGAATAAAATACTCGCGAAATACTCTCGGGTTGTAAGTGGTAGCCTTGCATACGTATGAACTTTTATCGAGTACATTGGTACACGAAGCGATTGAAGGAAAACGAAGTATCTAAAAAATGTCAAATATATACTCGAGAAATCAAAATTATTGATAAGTTGTGGAGATAAAGCTACTTTTTCGTGAAGACAGAGATTTTGTGAGTAGTCAAAAATCTGTGTTGCTTTAGTTTGCAGAATCCTCCGCCTCTTGTATGACTGGGACCTAGGTCCCTACCAAGTGACGTCATAATGTTGGCATCACTAGGGCACTATTGACGTACGTCCACCAACAAAAATGAAGCAGAAATGATGTCATTATGATGGTTTCACACACAAAATTGACGTCATAGTATGTAGTATAAAAGACCGAATACAAAATCGATATGGCGTCTGTATGACGTGGATATGACGTCTAACTGAGGTCGCTGTAACGTCTATGTGATGTCTATATGACGTGCAGTCGCACGCAGAAATAATCGCGCTGTATCCAAATGCTCGTGAAAAATTGAGGATGTGATAACGACACCCCACAAGCAGTGTGTTCAGGAGTAGTAGAAAGGCGCCGAAAGCTATATTCTACTTACCTACCACTCGCGAACCCTCTCGGTCGTTATCACCTCCGCAATTTATCACTACTGACTGTCTTAAAAAAGACGTTCAAATGACAACCTTTTAAAGGACATCTTGTTGTAATAAAAATGGCGTCAATTAAGACGTCGTATTTTAGTCAAAAGTGACCGAATAATGACGTTATTTTAGCGTCATCGTGTTCACTAGGTACTATATTAACAACGCCTTCGGAGTTATATGCTGAAAGCAATGATAATGGATACGGTAATGACCTACCTTTGTTTAGAAACTTCCAATTATTGTTCCGATTCAATTGAACTGCGATGAAACACGCATAATTAATAAGTATATTTATCACGAATTTAGCGACACAACAAATACAACCAGATAGTATCATGTATTCAATAATTAGAGAAAATGATGCATCAATTCTAGTAAAAACAAAAAAGTATACTTTATACATCTCTTGCAAACTGAGCCTCACATTACATTCTAGTCGAAAACAAAAACTGTTGGAAAATTTATATACCAAAACTTGCTCATAAGAAATACTATATAATTTTCGATGGAATAATCTTACTATTCGTTATTATCCGTCAGAGCGGTCCGGTGGACCTTTGCTCTTAATTAAAAGTCTCGTCGGTGTGTTAGTCTGTCAGGTCTGGCTACCCAGATACCAAACATGTTTAAGGGGGGTCTTTTGTTGATCTGATCGTATTTTCCTAAGCATGAGAAAGGTTTATGGAATGATCTTATTTCGGAAGCAAATCGAATTTAGGAAAATTAAATGAACCTAATTTCGCGAGTCAGATTTTTACATTTTTTTGATTTATTCAACTATAAATACTTTCACTTGTATCTCAAATTACTTAAAATGCAATTATTATTCACATCACACATCGCATATTTTAGTCAAAAAATTAACTTAGCTACCTTAACTCCAGTTACCAGAAATTATATCTATTTGGATGCTGAATTCTGATCAAAAAATCTATACTAATTGCTTACCACTACACCATTGTTGATAATGGCACCACCTCCTGGTCCAGCTGGGAGCTCTTCATCTTTGTCTCCATACTCTACGCTGTCATCAGTATATTCAATATAGTCCGTTAGGAGATCTTCATCCTTCAATAACGGAATAAATCATAGCATTTATTAATTTTTTTATCAGCGCTTACACCTGTATCTGTATAAATACTTTTATGATGAAATTCTAAGCAGACTTTCACTAGGCACTGAAAATTTCTGCAAGAAAATATTTTCCGAATGTCCAAGTAAGATTTTAGCATGAGTTGATTTTTTTATTTTGTATCTTAATTATTTGACCAGAAAGAAGTATTTATTTTTGTACTTGATAATTACTCGCAGAAATGTTCAACATTTTTAATTTAGCTTATTTAAAGAGTTTCTTTTTCTGATTCAATTCCACGATTTCGATTCTGGCCTCGGATTCTTTTCCGTATGTTTTAGATACACTGAAAAATCAAGAAAAATAAACACGCATGTCCTTAAAGCTTAAAGTGCCAAAGACTGGATAGTTTGGCCTTTGTGTTTTCAGCCATATGACATGGAAAATTAATAACACATGACATAAAATGTATGTACCAAGGATTTTAGCTTGCGAAAAGTTTAGCATTTTCGATGGGTTTTAGGGAAAGATTTAAAATCATTTTTTAAAGAAGTTCTCATCCAAATGTCGAAAACATTTTTTCTACGAAAGTCTAATGCCAATAGTCCAGTTGAGTATATTTTGTTCATAACTGGAACGACCCACTTGTAGTGAGTAACCGCGATTACTGGGAATAATTGTGTCCCGATGTTTTTATGTGACGTCACTGACATCAGAAAGTGCATATTTGCATGTAGGTATGTGCATGAAGTAAAAGAGTATAATATACCGAGTCGCCATAAAAGAAGAACAAGGGTTTGGTCGCAGCCTCTGGTAGCAATGGCACCATAGCAACGATGACCACCAGCAAAGCCCCGGCCATGCTATAAAACTGTCTCGATGTTCGCCGAATGCCAGCGACGGCTTTATACGGTAGTTCAAACTCGCCGATTTCCGCACACAGTTGCCAGGTCAAGTTTTGGTTTTCGTGTACCCAACATTTTAGTAGCTACCAAACAGCTGACTCCAAACTCCAAAAACCTCCCAGGCTATGACATCATGTTCAAAAAGAAAATTTTTATTGCTCAGCTCAGACTGGATTAAAAATGTTTGCCCTTCATTCGTGAATGATCGGAAGTATTCATGCGACACACGCAGTGTCGGTGACGCGCTTCGAGCTCCTCAGTTTCATTTGTGATTTTCGCGCGGAGCTTGATATCCAAATGTGGCAGTAGTTGGTTATTGGCTGAGAAGTTTATCAATGATGGTGATCAAATGGAATATTCGAGCATAGGGCACTTAGTGACTCACAACCTTGGTTAGAATATTTCTCGCTCCAAATGAAACACAGTGTATAGGGGAGTCATTGTTGACTTGATGGAATGGGAAAAACTTTTAAATTCTATTTATGCAGCCAAATTTAGGTCTATGAAGGGCATTTATACCAAACATGTGCTTCCATAGGCTTGATGTGATTTTATTTTATATTGGGTCATATATAAATATACTAAGTGACATATAAATCCGAACACCCAGTTTAAATGGTTTTATTTTAATAAAAGTTGGTGAATGTATTTATCTCACTGTAAATAACAACTGAAAAAATGTTCAGCCTTATCAGTTGGACACTCCGGTTTTTATACTGCTTTTTTTATTTCACTAACGCTCTAAAAATGAATATTTCAGCCGCAGTAAAGAATCAACGTTGGCGGATTTTGGTTCTTGACATCCTTTACGATCGGTTACGATGCCTAGAGTACGGAGACCTGTACGATTTCGTCAACTTAGTGAGTTTGATAGGGGCCGTTTAGTGGGACTTCGGGAAGCTGGACTTTCTTTTCGGGCAATTGCAGTTAGAGTGCAAAGAAGTGTAGACACTGTGGTTAGGTGTTGTCAGGCATGGCTTCGAGAAGGCCGTACGCAAAGAGCAAGGGGCACTGGACGCCGCCGTAGAACAACAGACCGTGAAGATCGCCGCCTAAGATTATTGGTCTTAAGGGACCGTTTCTCCACTACCAGGTCCATTGCAAATGAATGGTTTGCAGAACACGGAAGACCTATTGGCATGCGAAGTGTTTACCGACGAATGCGAAATTTTGGCTTGTTTTCATACCGGCCAGGAATGGAACAGTATTGTCTTTAGTGACGAGTCTCGATTTTGTTTAGGCATGCACGATGGTCGTGCCAGGGTTAGAAGGCGACGTGGTGAAAGGAGGAATCCACAGTTTTTTGTTGAAAGACATGTTCATCACACTGTTGGAGTTATGGTTTGGGGTGCTATAGCTTATGGTTCCAGGTCACCTTTAATCTTCATCAGCGGTAACATGAACGCGCAGCGTTATATCCACGAAGTTCTAGAACCCCATCGTTTACCCTATCTTGACACCCTGGCAGATCCAACTTTCCAACAAGAGAATGCCCGACCACATGTTGCAAGAGTCACAATAGACTTCTTTCAACATAATGATGTTACATTGTTACCATGGCCACCAAGATCTCCCGACTTATCCCCAATTGAGCACGTGTGGGATATGATGGGTAGGAGATTGCTCAATTTGCAACGTCCTCCTCAGACTCTAGAAGCACTTCGAGAGGAGTATGGTGGTTGCCTGGAATGCGATACCACAGGAGGACATTGACCACCTGATCAGAAGCATGCCTAGGCGCGTTGGAGAATGCGTAGCACATCAGGGTGCATCCACACATTATTAAAGGTCAAAGGGCTTTAAAGCAGTGCAATCATTTTTAAATTTTTATCATTTACTTATTATGCTTCATTTAGTACTTAAATTTTATTAAAATAAAAGCATTTAAACTGTGTTTTATTATTAGAAATAAAAGTACAATTTTTATACGCATGATCAGATGGCCTTATTCAGTTTCAGGTAACCTTTTCCCTACTTTATAAACTTAAAACAAATAATTGCTTCTAGTGAATGGTGATATATTATAACCTGTTGCTGGACAAACAGACAAATAGTTGTTGAAACTTGATCCCCATATACAATAAGTTCACAACCAATGAAAAAAAAATATCGAATTTTGTTAGGGTTTAAAATTCATAAGCTTTTCTTTTGATTTAAAACCATCAGCTATATCAAGTCCTTCAATTTTGTTTGATATCCAAGATTTGTTAGAGCACAGTCTAAACAAATTTAATAAACATAATTGAATTGCTTCACTTGGAGCGCAGGTAAACTCATTTTAGTAGCTCATTAATTTTAAATAGATTGGAGTAATCAATCTAAGTAAACGGTTTTATAAATATAATTTAGTTTAATTAAACTAGTTTCGTGGATTCAAGTAAGTTGTTTTAGAAACCTGCGCTTAATTAAATTTACTAAATTTGTTAGATGTTACATAGTTAATTAGCTTTTTTAATTGGCTTCATTGAAATTTTAATTGGTTCGATTGAATTTTTCTCACAATACGATAAAATTGTCCGAGTAGGCCGAGTACCGGGCAGGGCCGGCTTCAGAGGTTTGACCTCCCTCAGGCAAAGTATAAAATATGCGCCCTGCTCATCCCACCTTATATCGAAATTTTGCGCCACCCATGGCACTGCGACTATCTGTACCCGGCTCAGATATACAGCTATTAAAAAGGCTTTTAGGCGCTAATCTTAATAAAAGTGTATTCCACCACATCTTGTCTAATGCTCGTTTCTTCCAGTCTCTGATATTCCCGCTCCTCAAATCTTCCATAACCGCATCCTTCCATCTTCCTCTTGGTCTCCCTCTTTTCTTCTTGGTATCCGGAACTCTTCATGCTATATGCTTCACTGTTCTTTCTTGCGACATTCTTTCCAGGTGCCTCAGCCACTGCAATTTTCTGGTCCTAGCTACTTCTGTTATAACTGGTTAATGAATTAGATGATTGATTTCCGCATTAGACCTCGTAACATACCCTCCCTCCACCATGATCCCTCCATATATTCTCCTTAAAATTTTCCTCTCCCACCTAATTAATGTTTGTTCAAGTTTTTTTATTTATTACCCAGGTTTCTACTCCATACAAAAGGGCTGGCTTGATGATTGTATTGTATAGCCTTATTTCGGAGACTCTAGATACATTTCTTGACTTAATATTTCTGTTAAGCTTTCATGCACATTTATTGGCCTTACCGATTCAGTAGTTTACTTCTGTTTCCTGATTTATTTTATTACTAACCAACGATGGTAAATACACAAACTCATCCACCTCCTCATACATCTTTTTTCCTGTGCTTACCGTTATTTCTAGCCTCGTTTCCGCTCGATATAAATTTACTTTTTTCCTCGTTTACCTTCAATCCCATTTTTGCTGCAGCTTGTATAAACTGCTTTTTCCATTGTCATTTTATCACTAGCTACTATGGCGACATCATCAGCATAAGCAGTTAGTTGGTGACTTTTAAATAATATACTTCCTGATCTATTCAGCTGACTCTCAATAAGGATTCTTTCTAGGATCGTATTAAATAAAAGTGTAGACAATGGGTCCCCCTGTCTGAGTCCTGTATTAATCTCAAACTCTTCTGTCAATTCGCCTCTTATTTTGACTGATACTTCTTGTTTGTCTCACCATCTTTCTTGTGAGGTTTATGACTTTTCCAGCTATATCAAAATAATTCATTGTACGAAATACTGCACTCCTTCTGATCGTGTCGTAGGCTTTTTGGAAGTCAATAAATAGTATGATTGCTGGTATTTTATATTCGTAGCAGGTGGTAAGAGCTTCTTTCCCTTCCGAAAGCCCCTCCCAACTGTGGAACTATAATTTTCTCTAGTCTCATTTTAAACAATGTTGATAAAATTTCATATACTACATCCAATAGTGAGATTCCTCTCTGATACCGTGTACAGAACAAGAGTACTCGTTGCATCCCTAGTAGCAAGCACACTGACCAATAGCGAAATGTGGCAACATGTTGGCCATCCAGATCGCCACCGCCACCGTTAATGAACCATTTATCGACAATAACGATTATTTACGGGGGCCCGTGGTCGCAGCTACCTCGGCCCAAATGACTTTTCTGGGAACCGCTTGGCTAAATTATGCTCGAGCACATACTCACATACGCAAATAAGTGCACTTTTAGTATGCGTGAAGCTTTCCCATTGATGATGGCATTTCAAGCCGATGCCACCGACATGTTCATCGTCCAATTGAAATGGGCTCGTTGCACTTTCAGTTTGAGCGGTTTTTATTTTTTGTTTTTGGCCTTTTTCTCCGCCGCACTGGACCGATTTTCAAAAACTTTTGCGTCCTTGGCTTAGTAAAAATTTCATCAAAATCCGAGCTGCACTTCCCAAGTTATAGGCGGTTAAAATAATGGGTGATTTTTTTCTAGTGTCTTTTTGGCAACACTGTTTTTGACAGATGACGCGTGAATCGTGTCTTGTGTCATTGTCAAACTTGTTCAGTTTGGTCTATAATTTAACCATGAATCGACTTACGAACGAACAGCGCTTGCAAATTATTGAATTTTACTATCAAAATTCATGCTCGGTTAAGGCCCGTATCGTCAGTCGTCCCTACAATTGTAGGGCGCCTTTATGGCCTCCTTGATTGTCATAGTTTTCTACTTCTCCGTGTCAGCGCTCTATTTTGAGGTTATGTCACAAACATCAATTAGCATCAAATTGTGCTTGGTTTTGAGTTATATCATGTTTTATCAGCCTGAAATTTCCTACAACTTAAAAGGAAAACAAATCTTCACAATAGGAGAGCGCTGACGCTGACACGGGACAAGTATAATCTAGAAATTTTTGAAGGAGAGAAAGGAGTATGACAATCAAGGAGGCCATAATACAATTGTAGGGTCGACTGACGATACGGGCCTAAGAGAGTGCATCGAGCACTGCTTCCAATTTATGGACAATTTGGTCGGCCTACTGAGGGAGCTATTCGGAAGCTTGTGACTAAATTTCGAACCCAGTTTACATTATTGGACATTAAACCACCAACACGCAGAC